CGCCCCCGATTCTGGGCTGAGTGTTGACTCGATCGGTCTGCCTGCCTGCCTGCACCTCTGGGAGGAGTTGCTCGACTCCCTGAGCGGCAGTGCTGTCGCGAGCTTCCCTGAGCGCACCAGCGAGGCTGCGGGCCACCAGGGACATTCGCAGGCGTCTCTAGAGGGGGTTGGCGGTCCCCCTGAGAGAGAAAGTGCAGTCGCGGGCTTCCTTGAGCAGCTTCCTCCCTCATCCTCCCCTGGCGCCCCGCAGAGACATGGCGGAACTGGAGCTGCCTAGCGGCGTGACCCTATTGAGCAGCCGCATCAATGCCACTCACCTGGGGCCGTAGCTTTTTTTGCTCAAGGTTGTGGCTGAATCACACTCCGTCTCATACTACATATTTCCGTATGCCATTGACGTTGCTTCTTACATTTCCATACGAGCAGAAGTAATGATTCGACTGAGTGCACAGCTTGTCCTGTATGGGCTGGCGCTTCCGACCACTACAGCACATGTGGGCGAGGCTGACGTGGATGGCTTAGAGTGGCTGGCGGTTGACACCTCGGCCATCCAGATTGGGGCCGCGGAGGGCGCGTCAAATTTACTCGACGCCGCTGCCGTTTCGCACAGCTCGCTCTTGCTCGACACCACCGCCGCTGCCCACAGCTCGGTGCTACTCGACACCGCCGCCACGGCCATGGACATGGGCACCGCCTCCGCGTCCAGGGGGCGGCGCCACCCGCGCATGAGCCCGAGGGTGCGCCCGAGGAGGACGGCGAGGCACAGCGCCGGTTCCTGGCCGCACTCGGACGACCACCCGTGGCGGTGGGGGAAGTTCGGCGCCAACGCGTGCCCAGACCCCGGGGACCTCGAGCTCACCGCGGACGAGTGCAGGTCCATCACTGCCTACCACTACGAGCCGCGGCGGCTCGGCGACCAGTGGCTCGTCAACAGCCCGCTGCTCCCGAAGGGTTGCAGCGAGGCCGCCGACGAGACAATCTACTTCAACGAGCACTCGGTCGGCGGTGCCTTGGCCAACCACCGTCCTATCTGCAGGGCGGACGGTTATACCATCTTCGCTGGGGGGTGTCCCACGGGCTTCATGGATCTGGACGACGTCGAGTGCAACGTCGCGAGCCAGACCTTCTCGTGGCCCTGGGATGCGGCGAACCCCCTGTACGACGCATCTTTGACTAAGGGGTGCTACAGTAAGGATGGCCACTTGTATTACAACGACCATGAGACGGGCACACCCGGCGACAACAACTCGTTCAGCATCTGCCAGTATACGCATATTGAAAAGCGAGTGGCGGCCGCAGCAGCCGCCGGGGACGAAGATGCGGCAGCTGCGGCAGCTGCCGCCATGGAGGCCGAGATCCAGACGGCAGCTGCCGCTGCAGCAGCTCCCGCCCCGATGACGATCCATACGGCAGCTGCCGCTGCGGCAGCTCCCGCCCCGATGACAGGTGCAGCGTCGGCGGTGCCGGCGCAATCCACCTCCGCCAGCGCAGTGGGCGATCCGCACATGACCTCTATCACTGGGGCCAAGTTCGACATAACACGGTCGGGCAACCACACCCTGTTCCATATCCCGCGATTCTCTGCCCACGAGGCCGCGCTCCTCGACGTGAATGCTTTCGTCAAGCGCGAGGGGCTGGCGTGTGCGGACATGTACATCAACGCTTTGCACATCACAGGCAAATGGGCGGACGACGTGCAGCCTGGGGGCTTCAGCTTCACCGCCGACCACCGCAGCCACGTCAGCGGGCGCTGGATGCCATTCGGTAAGCTGGAGTTGAAGGTCGTGCATGGCAAAACGAACAGAGGTGTAAAGTACCTCAACTTGCTTGCCAAGCATTTGAGCAAGGTTGGCGCTCCCATCGGTGGCATCCTCGGGCTGGACGACCACACAGAAGCGGCCACGTCCGACGACCACTGCAAGCGGACACTTTCGCTGCTGTCTCTCGGGACATCGCGGAGGAGCATATGAGAGGGCTCGGTAGCGTGCGTCTTCTTCTGCATCGAAGATATGTTGAAGTCGGGCCTGTCCCTCTACAGGAGGAGTATTCACAAATAGTCCAACAATAGTCTGGGGAGGATGTTCGTATTATTGTTAGACTATGTTTTAGTACTGTTTGGCGATTGTTTTTATTGGTCATCCAAAATCCCCCTGTAGAAGGACATGCCCGACCTGATGTCGCAAGAGGGAGGGGGCACGCCGAGGACAAACCAGAGGGGAGGGGAAGGCAAGCGGGCGGGCCCTGGCCTGACGCACGCGCTCGCGACAACCTGCTGCCTCCGCGGCTCGACGACCAGCGCGGGGACGCGGTGCGGATGCTGCGGCGCCGGGAGAAACAAAAACACATCCGAGCGAAAGGCCCAGCCATATGCAGTTGTGGGTATCGCCGCTGTGGGTATCGTCTCCTGCGGATCTCTCTTAATGGGGCCACGAAGCGTGTGGGCGAGGACGCACGCTGGCGCAGCCATTGGGGCTTTCGGTGGCGCTCCATCTGGGGCCACGAAACGTGTGAAGGGGGTGCCGAGATAGAGCGGGGCATCTATGCGAACGTCGCCGCTGGGGCCTTCGGTCGAGCTCCCTATGGGGCCACGAAGCGCTGTACTGGGTGGGGGGAAAGCATGCGGACACTGCCACTAGGGCCTTCGGTGGAGCTCCCTATGGGGCCCACGACACGCTGTACTGGGTGGGGGGAATGCATGCGGACACCGCCGCGGGCCTTCGGTGGAGCTTCCGATGGGCCCACGAAGCGCTGTAGTGGGTAGGGGGAAACGCATGCGGACACCGCCACTTGGGCCTTCGGTGGAGCCCCCAATGGGGCCACGAAACGCTGTACTGGCAGGGGGGACGCATGCGAACCACTCCACTGAAACCTTCGGTGGAGCTCCTTATGGGGCCACGAAACGTGTAAGGGTGCGCCAAAATGGACAGGGGGCGGCCTGCGAACGCAGCCACTGGGGCCTTGGGTGGAGCTCCCTATGGGGCCACAGAACGTATGAGGGGTGTGCCAACGTGGACAGGAGGCGGCATGTGGACGCAGCCACTGAGGGCCTTGGGTGGAGCTCCCTATGGGGCCACGAGGCGTGCGAGGGGTGGGCCAAAGTGGACAGAATGCGGCATGTGAACGCAGCCACTGGGGCCTTAGGTGGAGCTCCCGACGGGTCCACGAAGGATGTGAGGGGTGGGCCAAAGTGAACAGGAGGAGGCATGTGAACGCAGCCACTGGGGCCTTGGGTGGAGCTCCCTTTGGGGCCACGAAGCGTGCGAGGGGTATGCCAACGTGGACAGGAGGCGGCATGTGAACGCAGCCATTGAGGCCGTGGGTGGAGCTCCCTATGGGGCCACGAAGCGTGCGAGGGGTGGACCAACGTGGACAGGAGGCGGCATGTGGACGCAGCCATTGGGGCCGTGGGTGGAGCTCCCTATAGGGCCACGAAGCGTGCGAGGGAGGCGGCTCGTGAACGCATTCACTGTGGCCTTGGGTGGAGCTCCCTATGTGAGGGCCACGAAACGTGTGAGGGGTGTGCCGAAGTGATGGGGTGACGGAAGGAGGGAAGATGGGGGAGAAAGAGGAGAGGAGGGGAGGAGGAGGAGGAGGAGGAGGAGGAGGTGGAGGAGGAGGCGGAGGAGGAGGAGGAGGAGGAGGGCGCGGGGCACCGTCTCTTCAGAACGAGGACCCAAAACCACACTATGGTTGGGACAAAAAAACAATCCCACTCACATGCGCCTCTAGGCCTGACCTTCGGTGGCACGGCTCCGAGCCAGCTGTTCTAAAGTTCTAATCTTCTGAACATGCATTGATCGTGCCATGTGTTGTCAGGTTCCTCGCCTCCCTCTGGGCCGCGCAGTCCTGCCGTGAAGCTGCCGGCTCGCATACCTTGTTCCTCGGGCCTGACCTTGCCACTGACAGGACTCAGGGCCATCGCCAGGGATCCTGGTCCTATGTGATGACGAAGTCGTCAGTTGATGATTCGTTCTGCACCTTCCAGTGGGCACATCAAAGAAGAATTCGGCCTATCAGCAGGTGCCCCACGGACATTTGGAATTCCCGACAAGGCGTTCTCTCATCGTGTGCTTTGCACTTCTGCACCACCGCGAATTCGTGGCTCCGTTTGCTAAGCTCGCAAAGCTGTTCCCCTAGCGCTTCATTTGTCCAGATGTTCCCCAAGCAGTGCTTGCACTTAGGGTTCCTTGCTTGTCTTCTATCTAAGGAACTGGGCCGGTTGGACGGTCTGGCGGCTATGTGGTCGCCATCGCCGCCCCGTCGCCGCTTCGTCGCCGCCTGTCGTTTGGGCTGTTTGGGCGGTCTGACGGCTATGTGGCCGCCGTGGCCGCTCCGTCGCCGCCCCCGTCGTCTGGGCCAGTTGGGCGGTGTGGCGGTTATGCGGTTGCCGTCGCCGCCCTGTCGCCGCCTCGTCGCCACCCCGTCGCCGCCTGTCGTTTGGACCGTGTGGTTGGTCTGGCGGCTATGTGGTCGCCGTTGCCGCCCCGTCGCCGCCTCGTCGTTGCCCGCCGCCGCCGTTGGATTGCACCACGTCGAGTGCACCAGCATGATTTCGTGCCTGCGGCGCGCTTTGTGACCGCTCACAACATAGATGGTACCACACATATTGGACAACATAGAGTATACCGGTTTATTTTTAATTCCACCTATCTACATATATATATATATGTGTGCATAGACACATTGCACACGTGATGCTGCACCTGTGCATAGATTGCACCATGGTGATGTACAGCCTATATGTCACACCATATGTTGCGTACCACACGCAGCACAACCACATCTATTGCCACACATAGATGACACATCACATATTGCATCACATGTCTTGCACTGCATCGGCTCCACACCATATATTCCACGCTACAGTTTGCACGACACATGTTGCAGGACATACTCGCTCCATACATGCTGCACCACATGCTCTGCACAGGGCAATTTGCACCACCTGTATTGTACCACACATGTTGCACATTTTGCATTGCACAACATGTACTGCGCAACATACCTCGCACCACACACATATAGCTACACATATACGTATACATGTCACGAGTTATTGCTCATCCTGGATCTCCCTACATCAACCGCACCCATCAGATGCTAGAAACGCACTGCTTGGGGTTCACGCTGGCTGGCATGTTGTATATTATATTAAACCAATGTCTTCGGGTTCATGCGTTTGGATTGCGACCACGCCGCTGCTTTCGGCTGCAATCCTGCGTCAGCGTTGGGTTGCACGGTGAAGCATGCCCTCGTGGAGCGATAAGCAGCCGGAGAAGAGGACGGGGATGAGAAGGAGGTTGATGATTAGGAGGGAGGAAGGCTTTGTTGGTTGTTGTGACGGCTTGCGCGAGTGCAGGCCGAAGGGCAGGCCGAAGGGAGGGGGAAAGAGGGAGCAGGGAGGATCGGGGAGGAGGTGGAGGAGGTGGACGGACAGGAGTGGGACGAGGGGGCAGTGTAGTGGGGGAGGATGTGGAAGAGGGAGGAGGAGGAGGACAAGGAGGGCGAGGAGGCAGGGGTGGACATGGGAGTTGGCCGAGGAGGTGGATGGTGCGCGCGCTGTCCAAGGCCTGCGCGCCCCACCGGGGGGCAGCAGAGGTGAACCACATCTTCCCGCTGTGCCCGAAGTCCTGGTTCGAGCCGCCCGTCCCGCTGCGGGCGCCCGTGGCGACGGCCCCAATCGGAGGGCAGGGGATGCACATGCTCCTCCTCCTCATTCTCCTCCTCCTCCTCCTCCTCCTCCTCCTCCTCCTCCTCCTCCTGCTTCGCGACCCGTTGCGAGAAAGCCGCAACGCCGGGGTCAGGGTAAGGAGGATCCAAGGTTGCCAGATTCTGCGGTCGGGAGCTCTGGGATGGCGTGTCGCTCCGCCGGTTCTGGCCCACCGCGCTTCGGCACGACGCGCTATCCACTTCTCTGTCTCCAGGCGTCAACGTCCCGATCTTTTCCGAGTTGTCCGCCCCGTGGAGCGGAGCGGCACGCTATCCGCTCACGAGGAATAGCGTGTCGCCAGGGCCGCCAACGCGACACGCTAAGCAGCAGTTTCTGACCGTAGGCCTCCCAAGTGGAGTCCGAGCAGATGAGGTCCCAGGATGTGGCTCGATGCGGAGCCCCATTTTCTCCGCGCTGGCGTCGCCGATGCACCGCCGATGTGTCGCCGATGCATCGCCGATTCTCTGACCCCGTCTACTCAGACCCCATCGAGGAGGCCTCTGCAGATGTGAGCTCGGCCCAGATGCCCCCCTCTCCTCGCGCTGTGGCAGAAACCACGGCGGAGGGGCCTTGGCCGTTCACGGCCTCTGGGGGCCCTGGCCGGGCCCAGGGGGGCTGTCAAGGGTCAGGTAGTAAATCAAGGAAGTTCCCGTTCGTTTTGGATGACACGTCAGATGGCGCCCAACAGAGCCCAGCAGCGCCGAATACCGCTCAGGTAGTGCCACATGGCGACCAACAGCGCCCAATAGCGCCATGTGAGGGAGACGCATTCTGTCCGCTGTGCGCGCGATTGGGTGCGCTAGTGGGTGCCACGGGGGCGACTGAAAGCTTCCGTGAGTTGTTTTCTAATCCAGGAGGGTTCTGGGGAGAAAGCGGTCCTGGGGAAAGGGTCCATACCACCAGGGATTCGCATTGCGGGAAGATAAGATCGTCGGGGGCAAGGGTAGGGGGTATCCGAAGTTGCTAAGTGTGATCTTGGCCCAAGGTGCCCCCATCCTGGAGCTTGGGTGCCCCTCTGGGCCTTGTGGGGGGGCGATCAGGAGCCCGCCTGGGCCTCCTTGGAGAAGTTTGGGTCACCTTGGCCAGGGCCAGCTCCTGTAACGGCTGAGACTTGGACCGGATCTGTTGGACGAGTTGGACCTTCTCGGAGCCTCCAGAGACCTCCAGTGCTGAGGACAGTTCTCTGAGGTCTGCCGGCGCGTTCTGGGAGTACGGTCGGACTGAGGTATAGGATCGAGGTCGGCTCGGGGAAGGTAGTTACCCTGATATTCTTCGTGTTTGTTGGATGTTCTTGTGCATCCTGGGGGACGGTACCCTCGAATGTTCTTCGGTTGGGCCGGCGGAGGGTCTCATGTTCTTGAAGGATGTTATCCTGTCCTTGTTCTGGCTGTATTTCCCGTGGGCGGGAAGCTGGAAGCCCAGGCGGAGGTAGGGAGGGAGGGCAGGGGGCCTGGACTGAGACGGTGCTTGCCTCTCGTGTGGCTCGCACTCGTAATCGTTTACGCTTGAGCGAAGCCTGGAAGGTGCGACATGACAGCCTGGTGCCGAACAGTTTTGCTTCGTCTGGTTTGAGTCGCATCTGCTTTTTGGTATGGTCAATATTTTCACAGTTTTGCCAGAGCCACGTGGAGCGAATCGGGATGTGGAACGTGGGCGCAGGGCGTGTAGCACCATGAGGGAGCAAGAGAGAGAGAGAGGAAAAAACGAACATGTAGAGAAAGGGATATATATATATATATATAGATGGGGAGAGAGAAAGCGAGAGCGAGAGTGAGAGAGAGAGAGGAATAACATGCCAATAGTATTGGAGGGCCACTTGTCGGCAGGCAGGGACTGCATCTATCGTCTGCTTCATTATCTGGCGGCAGGGGGAGGGAGGGGGACGGGGGCAAGAGCAGTATGCATAGCAGGAGACAAAGAACTGTGGGCCTGGCAATGCCCGAAGGCACTCTAGGCACTCCAGCTAGCTCGGATGCCTTGCACAAAACAAAACGACGAAGGGGAGGAGGGCCAGCCGCACCCTTGGCCTTCACGCCGCCTCCACGGGCTCGCGCCAAGGCCGAGGTGCCCTTGCGGGGGGTGGCGACGGCAGAAGAGGGAGAGCAGAGCGGTGCTGTCGCAGAGGAGGGAGGATGATGAGAGGGACGAGGCGGAGGAGAAGGTAAATGAACAGCAGATGTGTGGAAGAGGAGGTGACGTGCTGAGGCGAAGAGGATGGCAGTGCAGAGTAGGAGCGGGACGACGGTGGGGAGGATGAGGAGGATATCTGAATTCACGACGCCGAATGTGCCATTCCATAGCCGTTGAGTCAGCGACGCGCCCACACTGTCAGTATGCGGTCGCAGATCCGTGATTGCAGGGCGTCTACGGGCCATAGGTTATGTCGAAGGTCAACGTTCGCCCAGTTTGATTCCCCATCCGCTGCTCTTTACGGCCAGGCACACGGTGGGCGGCATTTGCCGAGTAATCCCCTCTTTCTTACCAGTCGGTTGTTTCCTTATCTTGTTGTTCTCGTTATTGTTGTTGGTGTTGATCTTGCTGGTGCTGTTGCTGTAGTAGTAGTAGTAGTAGTAGTAGTAGTAGTAGTAGTAGTAGTAGTAGTAGTAGTAGTAGTAGTAGTAGTAGTAGTAGCAGTAGTAGTAGTAGTAGTTGTTGTTGTTGTTGCTGTTGTTGTTGTTGTTGTGGTTGTTGTTGTTGTTGTTGTTGTTGATTTTGCTGTTGTTGTTGTTGTTGTTGCTGGTGTTGTTGTTATTGTTGTTGTTATTGTTGTTGTTGGTGTTGTTGCTGTTGTTTCTGTTGTTGTTGTCGTTGTGGTTGTTGTTGCTGTTTCTGCTGTTGTTGCGTGTGTTATTGTTATTGTTTTTATTGTTGTTGATGGTGGCGTTGTTGTTGTTGCTGTGGTCGTTGAATATGCGATTCGTGTTGCTGTTGTTGGTGTTATTGTTGTTGTCGTTGTTGTTGTTGGTGTTGTTCTTGATGTGAGTGTTGATGTTGTTGAATCCTCATTTCTAAGTGATAATTATTGCTGATCCCCAGAAACGGTTCCGCGTGCTCTCGCCTCGACGCCGGCTACATTTTCTGTGAAAGCGAGATTTCCGCTCGAGCGTTGGCTTGAGCCTGAATGTGGGCCCTTGGCAGCTACGACAACAACGGCTCCCGCTTGATACTTCCTTACAATTTACCCCGAGACACCCTGGCCAGAGAGGCCCCCGAACTCAGGAACTGCGCTCTCGCAGGAGACTCCTCACAATTCAATCAAGTTGGCGGAGGTCCAGCCACGACGACAAGGGCTCCTGCTCGATATTTCCTCACGGTTTACTTGGAGAGCCCCTGGCCAAGAAGGCCCCCGAACTCAGGAACGGCGCTCTCGCTCGAGACTTTCTTGTAATGCAGGCAAGTTGGTGGAGGCCCGGACACTGCGACAAGGGCTCCCGTTCGATATTTCTCCATAGGTATTCCGAAAGCCACTGGCCAGAGAGGCCCCCGAACTCAGGAACGACTCTCTCGCTCGAGACTCCTTTGCACTCCAGTCAGTGGCCGACAAGGAAGAGTTTCCCCCCGCAAGGGGGTGCAATTGAAGACGAAGTGGGCGGGTTACGAGGGCTGGGGTATACGGAATGCAAGACACGCGTGCCAGTAAGAGCGAACAGTCTCAAAAGTATTGGTGTCATTGTTGTTATCATTGTTGTTATTATTGTTGTTATTGTTGTTGCTGTTGTCGTCTTCCTCGTGGTTTTGGTGGAGCTTGGCCGAGGGTCCAGGGTGCAGGCCCGGGGAGGGCGAAGGGGTTAGGGCGGGTCTTGTGAGGGGGGCTGCGGGCCCCGGCTGTGCGGGACGAGTTGGCCCGGGGAGTGCCGCCGGGTGGGGCAGTTGTCCCGAAGCACCCAGGGTTGCACGCCTCGTCTCTTGCCAGCATCGGCGCATGTCTGCGGATAGCCTGTTGCACGTTAGTGCTCTTTGAGGGTGGCCAGGGCCCCTACAAATTTAGGAGGGACTCAAGAGGTTTGGCGCGGCGGACTCTTCCGCTGAGCCGCCAGTAACTACGTACGGTCAAGAACCTTTGGATGGCGTGTCGCTCCGCTGGTTCTGGCCCACAACGTTTCGGCGCGACGCGCGATCCACTGGAGGGTACCCTGATGTTCTTCGTGTTTGCTGGATGCTCTTGTGCATCTTGGAGAGGGTACCCTTGAATGGTTCGTGTGCTTTGGCTGGCGAAGTGTCTCATGCTCTTGAAGGACGTTCTTCTGTCCTAGGTGCGACTGTATCCTATTCCCAAGCGCCTACCATTCCCAAGCGCCTCCGCCCCGAGCTGTTCCCAGGCCCCCCGCCCCGCGGGGCGGAGCGACGGGCTATATCCGCTTGCAGGGCTGGCTCAGTGTGTCGCGCTGGCGCCGCCACCGCGACGCTGAGCCAGCATTCTCGACCTCGTGGGAAACCCAGCTCCCCCCCCATCGCTTGTGGAGTCGGGGCCTCGCGGCGGGTTTCTGGCTTAGCCTCTACCGTCGAGTCGAGCGTGTCCCTCTACAGGAGGGATCTGCACAAATAGTCAGAAGATCATTTGGGGACCATGCTTCGCCTATTGTTGACTATGTTTGATTCTTTTCAGACGGTTTCTTCTAATTTTTCCTCAAATCCCCCCGTTGGGGGACATGCCCGACCTAAAGCAAGCGTCTTCGACCTTTCGCCGCAGAGAGCGGCTCGTGGGAAACCCAGTTCCCCCCCCCGTTGGTGGAGTCGGGGCCTCGCGGCCGGTTTCTGGCTTATCCTCTACCGTGTTCCCGCTGGAGCACTGTTTCATTCCAAAGCCCCGTCTGCGAGGAAGATGCATGTTGTTCGCACATTGGAGATCTGCCAGTGCGCCTGCATGCAACAACGTGGGCCTCAGCGGACATGTCGACGGAGCTCCGTGATCATCGGAACGTCGGGGTCGGCGTGCCGACCTCGAAGAGGTCTGGAGCTCCAGATGGGGCCCGAAACCCTCGGGTTCCCTGCCTTCGCCTCTGCGAAAATGACGACGTCAAACATTCACGCCCGCGCGCATGTGCATGCGCGATGCCGTGTGAATAGCGTTGGCTGTGAGCGCGGAGTGCGCAGGCGCGCGAGCTTTCTCTCTGCGGAGGTGGGGGCCACAGTCTTGCGCTCGTGGATTCGGCGTCCGTGAGCAGGGCCAGTGCTCGAGTCGTTGAGTGGAGATGCGTGTGTGCTCTGTGCGCGCAGCGCATTCTTGGTCGCTGAAGTTCACCCACGTCCTGAGGAGGAGGAGGGGGAGGAGGAGGAGGGGGAGGAGGAGGAGGAGGAGGAGGAGGAGGAGGGGGAGGAGGAGGAGGAGGAGGAGGAGGAGGAGGAGGAGGAGGAGGAGGTGGAGGTGGAGGAGGAGGAGGAGGAGGAGGAGGAGGAGGAGGAGGAGGAGGAGGAGGATGGCATGCCCTTCCGCGGCGCAGGGCGCCGACGACTCAGACGACGGCGCCTCCACGCGGGCGCCCTCGTCGGCGGCATCCTCCGCGCAGGCTCCAACGGGGCAGCCGCCGGCGCGCTCTCAGAGTGCAACGGCTCGTCCAGTGGCGGCCTCGCAGCTCTCGGCAGCCATGTCTTTGACCGCGGGGCAGTAGCTCTTCGCCCTGGGCCATTTCGCTCGACCGTTCGAGTCCAAAGTGAGTGCGACAAGCGCTTCATGGTTTCAGGTTGCTGGATCCTGGCCAGGGGGCTCCAGGTGCGAATCTGGAGGCGGAGGAGGGACGTATTTAGACACCCCAGCAGGACGATCGATCTGGTGGGAGGCGACTTTCGTTGAGTAGGTTTAGGGGCTTGCGGGATGTACAAGACGACGTGCGGAATGAGTGACGACGTAGGGGCAGCATAAAGACACATACGCACATCCACGCAAAAGAGTAGCGAAAGAGGCTATGGCAGTGTGCGGCACCAGTGTGCTTACATGAATCGATTATGGCATAAAGCAGTGTGTGGTTTGCCATGGGTGCCTCGTCAAGGTGGCAAGCTCTATATGTTCGGTTCCGGGTCCGAGCGTTTTCGCAACAGCGCTTGGGAAAGTAACACTGTACCGCTATACCGCAAGTATGCAGTGTGGTAGTGGTGGGTGCGTTCCGAAGTCATGACGCGATAGTGTGGCATCAGCACTCCTGTTACAGTGCGGACGCGCGCAGGTCACAATATACGCGCTCAAGAAGTCGTACCGTGTAATGTGGGCCTGTGTGCGCGGTGCCGTTCGACCGTTCTTCGTGTGCGTGGTGCCACGGCCGTTCGTTGGAGCCCCGACCCCGCTCTCAAGTTCCCCTGTCTTGTGCCCCATTCTAGGGGAACGAAGAATGACATGAACATAACAGCTAGGTTGTCCGCGCGGATTTCTCGGATCGGCGCTGGACCCCCCTCCCTGGCGCACGGAGCGCGCCAGGGGCAGCGCCAGAGGCGCCGCCAGGGGGTCCAGTGCGGATTCGAGAATTCCGCGCCGACCTCCGAGTTTTTATGTTTATGTCATTCTTCGTTCCTCTACATTCCCCCCCCACCTTCGCTGCACACAGCTCGGCCCGCTTCCCCGCCATTCCCCCCTTTGGTTTCACGGCGATTCTCCGCCACACCCGCCCACTGTTCGTTGTCTCGGACGTCCTCCGGGGATGCGGCCCCTCTGCCGCGTCTCCTGGCCCGAGCTGATCGTTTAAGTAATTGCGCGCCGCGCTGAGCGTAACTTGCTTGGCGCGCCGACTTATACAACTCGATCGCGGTGTTTCCGAGCAGCCCCAGGGAGAAGTTCGCGTCGGGTGCGGCATGCTACGTGCGTGGTGCATACCGTCTGCGTCTGCCGCCGTCTTGCGACGTGCCGTGTTTGTGTGCGCATGGTGGTTTGTGCGCACCATGTGGCAGTTTAGTTGTTCAGGGTGCATGCGCGAGCCGGGTGACATGCTGGGCTTTTGCCATCGTGTTATCAGAGATTGGTTGTCCCAATTTCAGTCAGTCGTTGACCCGTGTTCTTACCAGTGGATCGGCCTAGGGTCAAAAGAGTATACGCGTTGCGTGGCCACAGCGGCAATGGTGACAGACGATGCGTCCGAAGTTCTTTCTTGTGAGTGTGTTGCCCCCGACGGATCCGATGCAGCCAATTCGGTTCTTCAGTTTTGTGGTCAGGCCCATCACGGAGGGTCTGCATACCATTGCGGTCAGCATGTTCCAGCGTAGGGGTGTGTCTGCATGATACCACCGGGTATTTGCAAGTGTTAGTTCGATCGGTTGCCGTGCTTTCTTCGCTAGCAAATGCAAGGCGTTGGTGCGTAACGCGATGGCATGTAGTTATATTTATTCAGAAGCAGCGCGCGTGTTACGTGGGTATGGTGTTGGGTGTGTAAGCCCGAGCGCGCGCGCTACCTGTCTCTGGCAAGGCTTCGTGGTTGATACACCGTGGTCTTGACGTTTTGTTGCAGTGCAGCTACATGGAGCCAGCCCTAAAAGCGTCGATCAAACTGTTATCTTTGAGCCGGAGAGCAATAGTAAAATCATAATCGGTTTTGTGTGTTCGAAGTCTGGATAACATAGCGCAGAGCATGACATCATATGCAGTAGTGTCGGAAGTTCATAACACTATGGGTATGTAACCTCATGTGAAATTCGCTCATTCGCCAATCAGTGCTTGCACTGAAGGGGTCCTAGCGGATAGTCCCCAATCAGTGCTTGCACTGAAGGGGTCCTGGCGGATATTGAAAGAGAAGGCGAATGTTTCACGCCTATTTTGTTGGCAGGCTGGGTCCGGGTTCCGGGTTCCCAGGGTCCCGGTTCCCGGCCGATTTCGGTGGGCGGCGAGGTTCCCAGGTTCCCGGGTTCTTGGTCGATCTTTTTATCGATCGGTCTCAGCATCGATCTCATTTCTCACCTCTCTATCGATCTCACCATCGATCTCACAATCGATCCCACAATCGATCTCGCAAGCGATCTCGCTAAAGATTGCACGAGCGATCTCGCGATCGATCTCCCAATCGATCTCATTGAATCGATTTCACTCTCGGTCTCACGATCGACTTTACAACCGTCAACTATCGATTCCACTATCGATCTCATTATCGATCTCACAATCGATCTCAAGATCCATATAACTAATTCTTGAATCATCCACTAATTGGGTTTTCTCAGGTGTAAGTGAAAGAGAAGGCGAATGTCTCACGCCGAATTTGGTGGCAGGCAAGGTTCCCGGGTTCCCGGTTCAGGGTTCCCGGGTTAGGGTTTCCCGGGCCGATTTCGGTGGGCGGCGAGGTTCCTAGGTTCCCGGGTTTTTGGTTGATTTTTTCGATCGGTCTCGACATCGATCTCATTTATCACCTCTCTATCGATCTCATCATCGATCTCACAATCGATCCCACAATCGATCTCGCAAGCGATCTCATTAGAGATCGCACGAGCGATCTCGCGATTGATCTCCCTTTCGATCTCATTGAATCGATTTCATCGTCGGTCTCACGATCGACCTTACAATTGTCAATTATCGATTCCACTATCGATCTCATTATCGGTCTCGTAATCGATCTCAAGATCCATATGACTAATTTTCAAATCACCCAGTGATTGGGGTCTTCTCAGGTGTAATGTTTTTAGATTCCCCAATCAGTGCTTGCACTGAAGGGGTCCCAGCGGATGTTGAATTGAAGGATTTGGCGAAAATTCCCCGCCGATTTTGGTGGCAGGCTGGGTTCCCGGGTTCCCGGTTCCGGGTTCCCGGGTTCCCCGTTCCGGGTTCCGGGCCGATTTTGGAAGGCGGCGAGGTTCCCGGGTTCCGAGGTTCTTGGTTGATTTTCTTATCGAACGGTCTCATTATCGATTTCATTACCGATTTCTCGATCGATCTCACCATCGATCTCACAATCGATCTCATTATCAATCTCAAAAGCGATCTCACTAGAGATCGCATGAGCGATCTCGCGATCGATCTCCCTATCGATCTCATTGAATCGATTTCATTCTCGGTCTCACGATCGACCTTACAATCGTCCTCACTATCGGTTTCACTATCGATTCCACTATCGATCTCAGAATCGATCTCAAGATCCATAGTATCAATTTTCAAATCATCCACTGATTGGGTTATCTCAGGTGTAAGTATACACATATAGATGGACAGTGTGAGTATACTGATGTCCTCATGCCACTGTGTAAGGAGCCGCTTACTGTTGTATATTGTCTAGTCTGCATTTACGTTTCGTTTGAGCACGTGGTTTTTGTTTGAATTGTCCTTGACGGTGTTGGTGCAGCTGGTGGTTCCTGGTGAATCCGTTTTGTCGGGGCGCAGATGGTTGATTCAGTCAGTTTCTGTGCGGCGCATCCGTTGGCCTTGTGCAGATGATGAGGATTCATGCGGGGCGGCCCAGGAAGGCAACGGCCTACACATCAGACCAGTTTCCAAACATACGTACGTGATCATATTGATATTCATGTTTTCATATCTTCATCTGCTGCCGCAGGTTACTCCAGAGACGGAGCCCAGCCAGCCCCCTGCGCACATCGTGGTGGGTGGAGGGCATTACCATGCAGAAGGGAGAGATGATACGTTTTACTTCAAGTTGTCATGATCCCACTCTGCAGGCTTGATTGTTGGACCAGCATCCCAATTCTTGACGCTTCGCGTATCCCCACCAGCCCATCCTACACCAGGCACTCGAACGAAGAGCGCCGATGATCGGCAGCTGTTCTCCTCCCCCTCTTCCTCCTTCTCCTCCGCCTTCTCCTCCTCCTCCCTCCTCCTCCTCCTCCTCCTCCTCCTCCTCCTCCTCCTCCTCCTCCTCCGCCTCTTCCTCTTCCCTGGTGGCGTCTTGGAGGTATCTTCGAACGTTTTGGTGGGCTCTTGGGCCTCGCGGGCGGGCGGGCGGCGCTCCGCCCGCCCGCGCGCAGGGCGCAAGAGGAGAGTCCGAGACGTCTCTTGAGGCCCTCTTGGAGGACATCGATCGCAGAAGGGGGAAGCATTTTTTAGCGTCGCCCCCCTGGGGGGCACGATCCTCGTGAGGGGTGTCGAATTTTAGCCCTCCCAGGGGTCGTTCTTGGACGCTCTAACTACCCGCGGCCCCCCCTGTCCAGGTCAGTGGGGAGGGGGTAGGGGGAGGGGTAAACCCCTCCCCGAAGGGGAAGAAGGAGGGGTGGAAGAGGAAACGCTCTAAACCACCGACGCCCAGAGGGCTGGTGGGATTATCTGAAGCATCCTGTCGGCAGGTTTATCGGATGGATCGTTGGATTTGTGGTTGTTGGCATCATAGTCTTTAAGTCGTTCGGAAGACATCGGGAGACGGTTGTCTACGATCAGATGTTGTCGATTAGCATGGTTCTGGTAAGTTCGAATGTCATTGATATAACAAATTGTTTGTTGGCAATCTGAGTATTAGAGTACCAAGGGCGAGTCTGCGCGCGAGCCATGCCCAAGTCAGAAGTTCGAGTTCACTTCTTATTGGGCGTTGCTTCCACAACCGCGCAACGTGTGCGTTTGCTGGCAAAGTGGTTTTCAGTGATTTCCCATACGGATCAGGAGGCAGGGACATTCAGTTAGGGCATGATAAGGAAAGCGACTTCGCCGTGTCGCCGGATCCCACAACGTCGATCAGAAACGCGAGCGGGTTGATCGGATCGGTTCCGTATTTGATCTGGTTTGTTTTGGTTTTAGATTTGGCGATTGGGGGGGTTCTCATCGGAGTGGTTCTCGGAAAGAACAGGTCAGTTGTTTCCCCGTTTTCGTGCTGCAGTTCTTGTTCTTGGTTCCGGAATCATTTTTTCCCCGGCCCCGTCGCCGCTGCAATCCCGAAGCCGTTGGTTTCAAGTTTCGGCGAGCCGTCGATTTGTACCGATCCCATTGTCAAAATCAAGACCCTTGGAACGGTAGCATACAACGGTCTTGCCGCTTCCAAGAACCACTTGGCCACGCGCAGAGGGGGGTAGGGGGAGGGGGAAGGCTTCTTAGAAGCACCCCTGCTTCTTGGAAGGCGCGAGTCTTCTCTATAGATACACGGCCAGCGCCTTCGAAGAAGCAGCCTCCTTCTAAGAAGCCCTCCCCCTGCCCCCTTGTGCGCGCCGCCAAACCGCGAAGGTGCTCACGCCTTGCGGAGGTGGCGAGCTGTGGGCGTCGTTCCGGGCTGCTTGTGCCTGTCCTTGCGTTTTGCTTGCCCGTGTTTCAGCTTGTGCCCGCCCAGGCCGGGCAGCCGACTCGCGCACGTTTCGCGTTGGCTCGCGTCACGGCAGGTCGTCCTGCGAGGCAGTTGGACCTTCGATCCGATGCCGACAACGACGACGCCGACGACGACAACGAAGGTGACGAGAAGGGCGAGGAGGAGGAGGAGGAGGAGGACGAATACGACGACGCCGACGACGACGACGAAGACGACGAAGACGACGACGAGACAGCTTGTCATGCAAGGCGGCTCGGCCTTCGATCCGATGCTGGTCAGGCCCGCAGGGGCAGGGAGGTTCGGTGGCAATTCATCGGAGCCTTGTGCGTCCTGGCAGTTCCGTCTTCAGGGTGCATCAGCGTGCGCGCGTCTGGCAATCAATGCGAAAGCGCCGACGACTCAGCATCGATTCAGCATCGACCAGCGTTGTGTGGCGTCGACTCGCGTCGGCCAGCGTCGAGTCGCGAGAGCCAGCGAGGTGGCAGGGGAGGCCCCCACGAACTGCCACGGAAGGTTGCCATGCGGGGGGATCTGGGCCTTCGACCCGATGCTGCTCCGGCCCGCATGGGGCGGGCAGGCGCAGATGGATCCGATCTCAGCTGGCGAGCCTGCCATGGATTTGGACGGCGCCCTCTCGCCGCCACGAGGTGCCCAGTGTCGCTTTCCCGCTCTGCCCGGATGTGTTGAAGCGCTTGAATTTACCAGCCTCGAACGTATCCCTATCCCTAAGATTGACACGCCAAAAGGCGATGACAATCTTAGGGATTCGCCCTCAAACAATAAGGCGATGTAAGGGATAGGGATAGGGATATGGATAGGGATATGTTCCAGGCTGGTAATGAATCTCGACTAAACGTAAGAGTGACCCTTCGCCGGAGTGACCTTTGGTGCGGGCGAAATGCGGCCCCCGATCGTTGAGCGAGAAGCGGCAGCAGCGGCTTGCGCGCCCAGGTTTGGCCACCCCGTGTCCCCCATGCAGCCGCGCACCAAAGGTCACTCTTGCCGCCCAGGGGCGCTCTTTCGTGTAGCCGAGAATCGCATTTCTGTTCGATCGGAATGGGTGCAGTACGGAAAGAGCGGTGACGAAGACCGACAGCAGTCCATGTTGAACAGGCGTCCACTGCCTGCTCAACAGTGCTCGCGGTCGGATTCGGACAATAAATTTGCCGCGGTGCGCCGTGCCCATGTCGGTCGTCCGAAGTGTTCGGTTGCCCGCTCCATCAAAGGATTGCTACCATCTGCCCTGCACCTGGGATCGCAGCGCCCTCGCGTAACGCCCACACCTTACTCGCGTTCACGATCGTGTGGCCGTGGAGAGAGAGAGAGAGAGAGATCGACCCAGAGCGTGCGTTTCCATCCCGTACGCTTCGGTCCATCGGTCCAACGTTGAACTTTGCGTGGGCGTTTCGAAGTTGCGGCGATGGTCTTGCGTGCGGCGCGCACCCTAGTGTTTCAGGCACAACGCGCAGCGCTAAACTGTGTGTCGTTGCCTCCAGTGCCTCCGCCGCGACCCTGGGGACCCGCAATGCTGTCCCCGAGGACTTTTGTCTTTGGCCCGAGGGACCCGCGTCGTGGGTTCCGGGTGTTCATGTCGTTGGGCTTGGGCCTCGAACCCGTGGCCGATCGGGTTCACGGGTGCCGTTCCTGACGCGACTGCCGTCGGTCCATGTCAGGAGGTTTTGTGCCTAAAGATGCGAATTACACGGTGCCCAATTTGTGCCGTGCTCGACCAAAGTTGTTTCGGATGCGAGGATGCTCCGCGTTATGTTGCCCGCTGCAATTGGGGCGCATTTCTGGGCACCGGGCCTTCTTGGGGGGCACAGCCGGTTGTCTTCGCGGACACATTTCCTGGCATGCGGAAGGTCAATGCAGGCGTCCATTCTTGGCACCGGGGGGCCAGTAAAGGGAATTGCCCAGGCATCAGAACGTTGGATTGCCAGTGCCCCGCGTCGGTGCAGCGCGGTGGAGTGTCGTAATGGCGCTGTGTGGTGACGGCTTCGCGTCGCAAAGAGGGAGCCACAAGGACCCTCAGAGGGTTCTTCGAGGGTATTGGGCAAACAAGAGTTTTGGGCCAGGAAGACATCGGGCAGACAAGGAAAGGGGCCACGAGGGTATCGGGCAAATCAGGAAGGCAAGCGCTAAACACACCGCGCGTGAACCAAAATATTCGTGTCGGGCACCGTTTGGGCCACACTTTGGGCACCGTGCGGGGTACCGTAAGTGTCTTGGACCGGCCCTGTAGCGATTCTGACATATCATACGATGCGAGTTCGACGTTTTGTGCCAAGCTCCTCTTTTCTGCACCTGTGCCTCCTGTCCCCGAGCACCAGTCATTCCCTACCTAGGCTCTGCCTAGAAGAGTTCTTACTTTGGAGCTTAAAGGGCCGGGCAGTGCAAATCGCCCCGGGCGGTTCCCCAAGGATCCGCCCCGCGGTTCCCCCAGTTACGTCCCCTTAGCTTAGCGTTGCTTATTTCATCTTAGCTGAGCTTTTTTCATCTTAGCTTAGCTTAGCTTCATCTTAGCTCAGGTTTTTCTTAGCTTAGCTTACCTTCATCTTAGCTTCGCTGAGCTTTAGCATAGCAGAGCACAGCATAGCATAGCATAGCGTAGCATAAGTAGCATAGCGCAGCATAGCATATCATAGCATCGCCCAGCATAGCATAGCATAGCGCGGCATAGCATAGCATACCATAGCATAGCGCAGCACAGCACAGTATAGCACAGCACAGCGCAGCATCGCATCGCATCGCATAGCATAGCATAGCGTAGCGTAGCGTAGCATAGCATCGCGCAGCTTAGCATAGCATAGCATAGCATAGCTTAGCATAGCACAGCGCAGCATGACATCGCATAGCTTAGCATCGCATAGCATAACATAGCATATCGTAGCATCACATAGCATATCATAGCATATCATAGCGCAGCATCGCATGGCATGGCATAGTATAGCATAGCATCACATAGCATAGCATAGCAACTAATGCTGCTTTCCTAGGGGCTCCATCTTCTCGGTAGGGTCACACTGGGGTAATTGCTTTTGTCTTTACCTCAGCCTGCCCTGCCTTCCTCGTCTCATCATTTTCCCCTCTGGGGCCGACGTTGGAATCTTCCCAGGGTGCGTGTTTGCTCGCACCGCGCTCGCCATCCGTTCTGGGCGATCGTCCACGTGCGCGGAACTTCGGGTCCGTCGCGTGCTTGTCAGCACGGCCCTCCCTCGTTCACGTCCTCCTCCGTCCCTCTTCAATGTGTGTTTTCCTCTTGCGTCATGGTTCCAGTTGAGGTGTCGTGTGCAAGTGTGCGTATCGGACGTGCGGCATTTGCCATTCGTCGGGCAAGCCCTTCGCACCTCAGTCGCGCTCGTCGGGCCCACGGCCCACGGTCGTCATCCAGAGACTGCGCGGATCTGCTGGAGGTCGACGAAGCGGGGAAGTTGCCATGCGGGACGGGCCCAGTTCTGTTGCATGCTTTCGGCTTCTGGTTGCTTTCTGTCCTCGGGCTGCACTAACCTCAGGAGAATGTAAGACTCGAGCACTCCGGAACTCGGGTTTGCCTCCACTTTTTGACGAGCCCGCCCTGGATTTTGACGGTCCAGTTGTCGTGGGATGTCTGCAGCGGGAGTTAACGTCGAATTTCAGACTGGGTCGCGTCATTTTCGTGATGACCCCCTTCAGGCCAACCCGAGTCCCCCGAACCCGAGTCTTGCGTCACCCTGGCAACCTTTAAGAATGGGCGTGCGGATCATTCGAGTCACCGTCCGCCCGGTTACCCGCCCGGAGCGCTGTCGGATTCTTCCGAGGCGGGGATGGTGTCCTCACCACCGCCCGGGGGAGATCGCCTTCGGGGGCCCAGGCAGGCGGCGAGCCTGTGGGTATGTTCGGGCAGCCACCGCCTGCGAGGCTCCCATGGCGTCGGTTCCTTGGGCGGCGAGTCTGATGAGACCCCCGCCTCGCCATTCCCCGTGCCTCTTCGTGATGGCCTCCACGCCCGTCCGAGCACCCCCTCCCCCCGAGGAGCGCGCCGGCAAGTGGGGCCATCCCCGCCGACTTCACCGCCCCCACAGTCAGCGCGAGTGTTTCCTCGAGGGTTGATGATGGATCACGGTTCGTGTTTGGTCCATTTGATGCCTCCGAGGCCCTCCGACGACCTCCGACGATTTCAATCTCTCCCGCAGTCAACGCGTTGGCCTGCTCGAGGAAACAGGATCGAGTGTCGAGATCGTGGTACGTTGTTTCTCTTCAGTGGCCCTCTGGGCTTCAGAGACCTCCTCTACCCTCGTACTCCAACGCAGTGTCTACCAGCCGCTCCCAGGTCTGTCGTTCGCGCTTCCTCACTCGCTCCCATCATCGCGCCTCCCCAGGGGGCTGCCGCTGTGTGCCTTCAGCTTTTCTGGTAGTGGCCGTTAGGGCAGCATGGGATTGCCGCACAGCGCCCTTGCCCCTTCTCCTCCCCCCGCCCCCTCCTCCCTCTCCGCTGCTCCTCCTCCTGCTCGTCATCCGCTGCGTCCGTTGCGTGCTTGTGCAATTGGCTGGCAGAACCATCGGGGATGCCCACACAACGCGAGTGCAGTTTCTCCCGAATCCGCCCTCCCCTCTCCCTTTGTCCTTCTCGCCTCTCCCATCTGTCACAACTGCATTGTCGATGTGTTGCTGAGGCCTCGGTCCATGACATAAGTTTGCCTATTGCAGGTCGGTTGCTGCTGTGTTCCGGTTTGTTTGGCGACCTGGGCCCACTTCCTTCCCTGGGCCCCCGCGACGCCGCTACGAGCCCCCAATCTTTGCCAGGCCCCAGCCCTCCCCCACCGCCGGCAGGAGAAGCGGACGAGCGCATCGGGCGTTGTTTACACGTCGGTCGGAAAAATGGGTAAAAACATGAAGTAGGAAGGCGGATGAAGTAGATCGGGTTCAGGCCCTCCTGGAGAATATCAAACACATATCAAGACCATGCCGATTCTTGAAATAGGAAGGCGCTACACATGATTGGGATCTGGGAATCCAACAATATCTACTTTCAACGACCATCGTGTAATAAAGGTGCACCTCTCGTGCCTCGTCGGGGCCCGAAGGGGGCCCTTTGGGGTCCAAAAGGGGCACGACAGGTGCATTTTGTGGTTGCCCCCTCCATGTACCCATTCGTGGCTGAAAGTAAGAATTTTGGAATTTCCAAATTCCAATCTACTGTAGGCGCATTCCTACTTCCGACTCGACTGGGTGGAGGGTGGGCTGTCAGCCGGCGAGGACGCTGCAGCACGAGGGTGGTGAACACCGAAGAACAACAAACAACATAAACATAGACTGTTGGAGCTCCGCGCGTATTTCTCGGATCAGCGCTGGAGTCCCCTTTCGACGCTTCTGGCGGCGCCCCTGGCGCGCGCGCCAGGCAGGGGGGATCCAACGCCGATCCGAGAAATCTGCGCGGATTTCCAGAAGTTGATGTTGATGTTTGTTGCTTGCCTCCCTCTTGGATAGCAGGGCCAGGGCGTGGCTGGGCGCGGTGTGGTCAGGTACGCTCTTTGAGGTCTTCGACAACGGGCAGAGGCACGCGATCGGCATGCAGGTCCTCCGCCCCGCCCGTGTGGTTGCGCTGGGGGATGCCCTCCCTTAGCACTCTGGAATGGGCATGCCGGGCCACGGGCAGTAGCCGCAGAGTCCCCCCGACGAGGGCCATTGCCCGAGCCGTCTTCGCGTGCTGCTGGCAGTGGCAATTGTGAGTTGGGCCAGACTAGTCGGTAAAAGAGCGCGCCCGCAGCGCCGGGAATACGAAAAGGGGGGCCCCAGCTTCAAGCTACCCCCCATCCCCCTTCCAAAAGGGGAGGGGGCTTCCGAAGCTACCCCCCCACCCCTCCCTTCTGTAAGGGTTTCTAAGCGACGGGGGCCTAGGCTACAGGGGGGGGGAGGGCTTCGAAGTTACCCCCCCCCCTCCCTTCCTTTTCCGGCGCACGAGGTGAGCTCAGTCTTCCCTTTCAAAGGGGAGGGGGGTTCGGAAGCTACCCCCCCTCCTTCCTTTTTTGGTTTGGACACAGGGGGGCCCCAGCTTCAAGCTACCTCCATCCCCCCTCCCTTCCAAAAGGGGGGGGTGAGCTTCCGAAGCTACCCCCCCCGCTTCCCTTCTGTAAGGGTTTCTATGCCACGGGGGCCCTGGCTAAAGGGGGGGGGCTTCGAAGCTACCCCCCCCCCTCCCTCCCTTTTCCGGAGCAGAAGGTGAGCCCGGGCTTCCCTTTCAAAGGGGGGGGGCTTTGGAAGCTCCCACCCCTCCTTCCTTTTTTGGTCTGGGCACAGGGGGGGTGCGGCTTCAAGCTATTCCCCTCCTCCCTCCTTTGCAAAAGGTGGGGGGGGGGCTTTCGAAGCTACGCCTCCCCCCCTCTCTTCCGGGGCTCTGGCCCAATGGCGGAATCCTTGACGACAGGTGCGCATCGCAACGCTAGGGAACGCATTGGAGAATAACGTCGACCCCTGGTTCGTTTTCTTGTTTTCTTGTTTTCTCGGCCCCTGGTTCGTAGTCTCGTTTTCTCGGGTCCTGATTCCTTTTACCGTTTTCCCGTTTTCTCGGTCCCTGGTTCGTTTTCTTGTTTTTTCGTGTTTTCGGCTCCTGGGTCGCGGTCTCGTTTTCTCTGACCCTGGTTCGTGTTTTCGTTTTCTTGTTTTCTCGGCGCCTTGGTCGTGGTCTCGTTTTCTTTGACCTTGGTTTGTTTTCTCGTTTTTTCGGCCCCTGGGGCGTGGTTTTGTTTTCTCGGACGCGGGTTAGTATTATCGTTGTCTCGTTGTCTCGGCCACCGGGTGGTGGTCTCGTTTTCTCTGACCCTGCTTCGTTTTCCCGTTTCCTCGCTTTCTCGGCTCCTTGGTCGTGGTCTCGTTTTCTCGAGCCAAGCGATTTCTGGTGATCTCGGCCCTTGGGTCGTGGTTTCCTCGGACACTGGTTCGTTTTCTCAATTTCTCGTTTTCTCGGCCCCTGGGTCGTGGGTCGTTTTCGCGTTTCCTAATTTCCTCGGCCCCTGGGTCGTGGTCTCGTTTTCTCGGGGCCTGGTTCTTTTTCTCGTTTTTTTGTTTTCTCGGCCCCTGGGTCGTGGTCTCGTTTTCTCTGACCTTGGCTCGTTTTTTCGTTTTCTAATGTTTCGGCCCCTGGCTCGTAGTCTCGTTTTCTCTGGCCCTGATTCCTTTTATCGTTTTCTCGTTTTCTGGGCCCCTGGGTCGTGGTCGTGTTTTCTCGGACCCTGGTTCGTTTTCGCTTTTTCTGTGCCCTTGGGTCGTGGTCTCGTTTTCTCGGGCGCTGGTTGGTTTTCTCGTTGTCTCGGCCCCTGGGTCGTGGTCTCGTTTTCTCGGGCCCCGGTTCGTTTTTCGTTTTCTCGTTTTCTCGGCTCTTGTTTTTTTGTGAGTTTGTTTCGGGCCCTGATTCGTGATCGCGTCTTCTTGTTTTCTCGGCCCCTGGGTCGTGGTGTCATTTTTCCTCGGTCCCTGGTTCGTTTTCTCGTTTTCTCGTTCTCGGCCCCTGGGTCGTGGTCTCGGTTTCTCTGACCATGGTTCGTATTTTGTTTTCTCAGACCCTGGTTCGGTGTCTCGTGTTCTCCATTTATCGGCCCTTGGATTGTGGTTTTGTTTTCTCTGACCTTGGTGCGTTATCTCGTTTTCTTGGCCCCTGGGTCGTGGTCTCGTTTTCTCGGGCGCTGGTTCGTTTTCTCGTTTTCTCGTTGTCTCGGCTCCTGGGTCGTGGTCTCGGTTTCTCTGGCCCCGGTTCGTTCTCTCGTATTCTCTGTCCCTAAGTTTTTCTTTCGTTCTCTCGGCCCCTGGTTCGTTGTCTTGTTTTCTCGTTTTCTCGGCCCCTGGGTCGTGGTCTCGCTTTCTCTGACCCTGATTCGTTGTCTTGTTTTCTTGTTTTATCGTATCCTGGGTCGTGTTTCTGTTTTCTCGGACCCTGGTTCGTGTTCTCGTTTTCTTGGTTTCTCGGCCCCTGGGTCGTGGTCCAGTTTTCTCGGAACTTGGTTTGTTTTATCGTTTTCGCGTTTTCTCTGCCCCTGGGTCGTGGTCTCGTTTTCTCGGCCCCTGGGTCGTGGTCTCGTTTTCTTGGGCCCTGGTTCGTTTTCTCGTTTTCTCTGCACCTGGGTCGTGGTATGATTTTCTCTGGCCATGTTTCGTTTTTTCGTTTTCTTGTTTTCGCTGCCCCTGGGTCGTGGTCTCGTTTTCTCTGACCCTGGTTTGTTTTCTCGTTTTCTCGTTGTCGCTGCCCCTGAGTCGTCGTCTCGTTTTCTCTGACCCTGCTTCGTTTTCTCGTTTCTTGTTTTCTCGGCGCCTGGGTCGTGGTCCAGTTTTCTCTTACTCTGCTTCGTTTTCTCGTTTTCTTGCTTTCGCTGCCCCTGGGCTGTGGTTTCGTTTTCTCGGGTATTGGTGAGTTTTCTCGTTTCCTCGTTTTGTCGGCCCCTGGTTCGTAGTCTCGTTTCTTCGGGCCCCGAACCCTTTTATCGTTTTCTCGTTGTCTCGGCCCCTGGGTCGTGGTCTCGTTTTCTAGTAGCGATATCCGCGTTTTCTCGGCCTGGGTCGTGGCCTCGTTTGCTCGGGCCTTGATTTGTTTTCTCGTGTTCTCGGCCACTGGGTCTTTATCCCGTTTTCTCTGCCTTTGGTTCATTGTCTCGTTTTCTCGGCTTCTGGGTTGTTGTTTCGTTTTCTCCGGCCCTGGTTCGTTTTCTCGTCTTCTCGTTTTCTCGGCCCTTGGGTCGTGTTCTCGCTTTCTCGTGCCCTGGTTCGTTTTCTCGTTGTCTCGGTTTATCGGCCCTTGGGTCGTGGTTTCGTTTTATCGGACCTGGTTGGTTTTCGCGTTTTCTCTGCCCCTGGCTCGTGGTTCCGTTTTCTTTGACCCTGTTTCGTTTTTGGGGACCCTGGTTCGTTTTCTCGTTTTCTCGTTTTCTGTGCCCTAGGGCCGTGGTTTCGTTTTCTCAGACTCTGCTTCATTTCCTCGTTTTCTCAGCCCCTGGGTCGTAGTCTCGTTTTCTCTGACCCTGGTTCGTCGTCGTCGTCGGTCGTCGATCGCGCGTCGTCTGTCGTCCGTCGCCGTCTTCGCACGGCCTCGTCCTCGTCGTGACGACCACGACGAGGTCATACGAAGACGGCGACAATGACGGCGACGGCGGCGACAACGACGACGAGGACGACGACGGCGTCGTACGAAGACGTCGAGCGACGGCGACGGCAACGACGACGGCGACGGGGGAGGATCGTCCGGCAGGGGGAGTTCAAGGGAGGGGGGTGGTAGCTAAGCCGCTTTTCATCCTTTTGGAAAGGGGGGGAAGTTCCCTGCAGGGGAAGAGGAAATATTGAGGAGGGAGGGGCCTCCGCCAGAGGAAGGTCAAGGGAGGGAGGGATGTTGCTACGCTCCGCCTTCCCATTTCGTAAGGTGGGCGAGGGGGGGGAGCTTCCCGGGTGCCGAAAGGGAGGGGGGGGGCTGCTAAGTCCGCCATTCCCTTTGGAAATGAAGGGGGAGGAGGGGGGGGGAGCTTCTGGCAGAGGGGGATCAAGGGGGAGGGGGGTGGTAGCTAAGGTTTCCTCCTTCCTTTTCTTAAGGAGGGGAGGGGGGAGCCCGGTGCCGAAAAGCTTCCCCCCCCCCTTGGCAGTAAAGGGGGGGGTAGCTTCCGGCAGAGGGGGGTCAAGGGGAGGGGGGGGAGCTAAGCTTTGCGTAAGGGGGGAGGGGGGGGGGCCCTCCCCCCCTTTTGCGTAAGGGGGGGAGGGGGGGTGTAGCTTCCCAGGTGCCGAAAAGGGGGGGGGGCTGCTAAGCTCCCCCCCCCTTTGGAACCAAAGGGGGGGGGGTAGCTTCCGGCAGAGGGGGTCAAGGGGAGGGGGGGGGGTAGCTAAGCTCCCCCCTCCCTTTGGAAGGGAGGGGAGGGGGGGGGAGCTTCGGAGTGGGAGGGGTGGGGTAGCTTCAGGGGGGAGGCAAAACAGGGGGGAGGGGGGGGGGCTTCCAGCAGGGGAGGTGGAAGGGAGGGGGGGGGGTAGCTAAGGTGGGACCCCTTTGCGTCTTCGCTGTGGGCGCTCTCTCTCCTACGTCGGCAGTGCGACCACAGAAGTTTTCCGCGTGGGCAGAATGATTAATCTCGTTCAACCGCGCTGGGATATCCCCTCAAAGATCACAGTCGAGCAAATTTTCTGCCACTAGAAGATAACAATGGAAGATGTTGATAGGCAGGAGGAGCAAGAGGGGATGACCAGCCCCCTCGCCTCTCCCAGCCTGGCCTCGTCTCTCGCGCCCTATCTCTGAAGAACGCGGTTATGACTGCAATCACGATTGTGGTCCTTGCTTTGAGCCCTTTCCAATCGCAGTCAAACAACAGAAGGAGGCGAATTACGAATCGACATTCGTTGTAGCAGGCGGGTTTCGGTGATTCTTGGGTGTCTCCTGCTGCTGGATTCCCATCCGCAATCGCGCGGAGTCGGTGATTGAAGATTTGCAGAAAACATTCGCAGTCTTCAACAGCGCAAGCCGCACCCTGCCCCCCCACGACTAGCTCTGCGCCGCGCACGCTGCGCCGGGCGAGGGACTCTGGAGAGAGCGTGGGAGGAATTGGGCACGCAAGAGGAGCAATTCTTCGCAAAGCAAGCCATGCTCCCAGACAGTTCACAAGCGATATGGGATGGCTGTCGTGGAAACTAGGCATTGCTGGCATATTAGATCCTGGCTTGCTGGCATGTTGAATCCTTCATACAATCCCGCTGAAATCTACAGGACATGCCCGCGTAGTTCTCTGAAGTTCCGTTCGTTCCGAAGCATTCCTCGAGGAGTTTTCCCCTGTCGTCGGATTGGATCGAGCTCGAGTTCCTCATGAGAGCGCTACTGTTGTCGAATGCGTGACATTCCCGTAGAGGGGGCTGTCTCCCAGGGAGACCCAGACGACATGGACACGGACTTCGAGAGTCCACGGCTGGCAGTGCCCATTCGCCTGGTGCAGCAGGTGCTCGCCGCGACCATGCGGAGGAGGCGCCGCCTTTACCCCCCACCTGCATTGATGCTCCGTCCGTTCATCTTCCCTGCCTTCCTTACATCTTCCTCTGGTTGCCCCTCGTTTCATTCCAGAATCCTCTCCTCCCGTGCCCTCACACCTCTCCAGTCCCCCTTGCCTTACTCATCCTCTCCGTCAGCAGCATCTCTCTCGCCCTCTCTCCTCTGTTATCTCTCCCTCCGCCTCCTCTCTCTGTAGACCTGGAGACTGGTACGTCCCAGATCAATGTTGGATGTTCCAAGGGCCGCCCGAATCGGGTTTCGAGAGGCCAGCAATGGCCAAAAACCTCTTTGATCCTTCTTTTCGCATAGGCTATTTGGGAAACCCTGAACCCCAAAAACGTTTCCATCTATTGGGGGCGCATGTTTTACATCCGCCGACCTTCCGCCCCCTTCCGCTGGCGGAGGTGGCCTCGTTTTACTGCCGCCGACCCTCCGCCGCCCTTCCGCGGCGGTAGAGATGACAACTCCTTCGATCCTCGAAGGCATGGCCATGCCTGGAACGCCTCGCATCCCTCGTCCCTGCCGTCGGAGGCGCACGCGTGCCAGTCTTGCAGAGCCGCGGAGGGCCTCGTGGGGGTCCGCCTCCGCTCTCCGCTCTCGCCGGTCCGTCCGGTTGGAAGAGCATCGGGACCGTCAGCTTGAGCTGGGGCCTGTTCCTCTACAGGAGGACTACGCAGAAGTTGTTTTTTGTGAATAGTCTGGGGACGATTCTTGGCTATTTTTGTTTTGCCATGTTTGAGAATCGTTGGACTCTTTTTGAGGTTTCGTCTACAACTCGCCTGTAGGAGGACATGCCCGACTTAACCCCAGGCCCTGAGACTGCAAGAAAAAAACACCAACAAAGCCGGCCCTGGGGAAGGCCGCAGTGTCCAGGGCCCTGTTCCATCCGGTTTGTTGCCCTTCGTTGCAGTTCTCTGGAGCTTCTCTGGAGCTTCCTTCGCCACCGGGCAAAGAGGTCCTGAGGTCCTGAGGAAAAGGGATTATGGAGTTCGTTTGCCGTTTTCGGCTTCCTGGGGCCATTCGCAGGCCATGGGGCCGTCGACAAAAACAACACCGACGACGAGACACATGTCCAGAAAAGTCCCAGATCCAGGGCCAGGACCCCTTCACCTCAGGACCCGCCTCCTTCGTGCCAATCCTTCCCATCACTCTCCCTCTGCTCCCCGTCCAGGGCTTTTGTTTCGCTGCGCCAGGTGTCTCGTCCCGTCCTCTCTCCTGTTATGCCCTGCTCGCCCTGCTGTCCTGTCACCGCATTATTGGGATCAACCCACATGGCGGGCTCCAGACAGGGGCTCACCTTCGAGAGTCGAAGGAGTTGCCATCTCCTCGGCGGAAGGCGGTGGAAGTCAAGCGAGGCCGCCTCCGCCGACGGAAGCCAACGGAATCAAGCATGGGCCTCCCAGGCGACGGCAACCTTTTGGGGAGCCGGGTTCCCTGAGCCCACCAGATGTTGCTCCTCTGCAATTCGCCTTCTAGGTCTCACGCGCTCGCCGAGTTCTCCCTTTTCTTCTTCTCTTTCCACTCGAAGAATAAAAACGCCATAAACATAAACTGTTGGCGTTCCGCGCAGATTTCTTGGATCTGCGCTGGAGCGCCTTGGTGGCGCCTCCGGCGCCGCCCCTGGCGCGCTGAGCGCGCCAGGGAGGGGGGGGGGGGGTCCAGCGCAGACCGAGAAATCGGCGCGAAGCGCCAAAAGTTTCTCTTGATACCGTGTTTTTTTCATTGATTTCACCTCCTTCCGCCTTCCGGTCCTCTCTCGGCTCGCCGCTCTTCCGTCTTCTTTCGCTTCCCTGAGGCCGCTTGCGCCCCCTGCTCGTTCGCGGAGCACCTCGGCGGCCCGGCCGCGTGTCCGCCCGCTCGTCCGCGGCCCGCCCGCTCCTCTCTGTCCGCCCGCTCCGGCGCCCGCACCTGGAACGCCCTCAGCGACCCCCCCGCGCCCGCGCCCGTCCAGGCCTCCCCGACAGGGGTGCCGGGCAGGGCGGAGGGGGGTCCTCGCAGGTGGTCGCGAGGCCCTCGCCCAGCCCGTGAGCGCGGGGGAACCTCCTGGATGGGGCCGGAGGATCGCGCCGCACCGCCGATGCATCGCCGATGCGGCTCGGTGTGCAGCCCGAGTTGCTTCACGTCGACTTCGCGGATGCATCGCCGACATCGACGATGCATCGCCAGTGCATAGCCGATGCACCGCCGGTGCATCGCTGATGCATCGCCGATGTGTCCGCGATGCCCAGCGATCCTCCAACCCCTTCTACTCCGACCCCACCTAGGAGGCCTCTAGTCCGCTGACGCCGCCGATTGAACAAGTTCCCAGACTTCCCCACGTTTTCCATGCTCCGCCGCTCCATTGCCCTATGTTTACGTATCTTGTGTTTCTAATTTGCATTCCGTCGTCTTCCTTTGGTCGTGCGCTTCATTGGCACGCTCGATGTTCGCGACATTTCGAGTGGCGTTCTTGGTTTACCCGATGGTCGTTCGGAGCAAGACGCGGCGCGGAGCGTGTCGAGTGTGCAAATATTTATTACATGCCCTGCCTTCTACTCCTTTCCCCAGCCATAGTCTGCAGTTGGAAGAGAGGAGGCTGACTTGTGCAGTGCTGGTTTCTGCGTTCAGTTCTTGCTTGGGGAGCATTCGTTTTTTCAGGGTACGGCGCTTCAGAACTGTCAGGATGTGCACCCCCATGTCCAATGTATGATTGTTTCTCGATCTTCAGGACTGCAATTGCGCCGGCTGTCGCGCACGCCCACATGTGCCGTCTCTTTCAGCGGTTGGCCTCGCAGCAGCTTGCACAATTAATTTTTGGGGTGGCGGTCGGAAGGACCACTGGTGGAGCTTGGGGGGGCACTTCTGGCCAGTCCCAGTCACTTCTGGCAAGTCCTCGGCTGGCGCCCTGGCCCAGCAGCCCAGTCCATCGGATCTGGGAGAGCTGGTCAGCGAGATCGTCTATTGGATGGTCCTTGGATCGCCGCCAACCCTGACGCCGTTACCATTATCTTTTGCGCGACATGATGGCGAATCCTGGTGTGAATAGGCGGACCCCGAGACCCTCCAGCCCAATGTAAGGTTATGAGATTGCGTACGACATGGTCCTTTCGTTCTTCTTTGTTGTCTTGCGCGCCTCGATCCAATGTGGAAGTCCTACGATCTAATGTTCAAGGGTGTTGAAAGTTCCATGTTCTTTTATCCGTTCGAAAATACCAGGTGTTGTCACCGTGGCGTTTGAGAATCCGTTCCCATGGGGCGGCATTGTTGGAACAACGCTCGTGAAGCGGCGCCTTGTCGAAAGCGAAGCACGGATCCGAGTGAATGGAACTTTCTTTCGGCTCCCGAGGACGGCGGCCCTGCGGCGGGGTTCGTATGCTTTCGCTCCGCAGCCGTTGCAGCAAGCGATGTGTTGTTCTATGTGGGCATTCAGTTGGCTACGCGAACCTGGCACCTCAAAACTTCGACGCGGCAGCTAGAACTGCCAGTTGGCCCGGCCAGCTGCGAAACGTTCTTTATACGTAAGGGCTTCGCCCCCTGCCGCCGGCCCCCTCTCTCGGATAATGGATCGTGCAAAAGCTACGTCGTGAGGTCTGGGTGCCGTCTTGAAGCACTGTCGGAACCTCATGCGAGGACGATATTATCGTCCTCGCATGAGTAATCGGCAAGAAGGATGTAGATGCAGATGATATTGTTGAATTCGGTGTTGCATTTTGGACTTGCCCCCGCATGGTGTGCATTGGAGGCCTTTTTGGAAAGACTGGGGGCTGCTTGAGGCTAGAGTGGGCAAAATCGCGCTGCTGGGGCGGTCTTCGGGCTCCTCGGCGTCTGTTGTAAGGGATTGAGGCCTTGGGGGCGCGAGTGCGCCGTAGTTTAAAATTAATCTTGGCCTCGGGGGCGCGAGTCGTGTGGAAGTTACAAAGAGCTTATGGCCTCGGGGACGCCACTAGTGTATGCATCATTCACCATGGCTTGTGGCCTCGGGGGCGCGAATACGGTGTAATTTGCAAGGCATTCTGGCCTCGGGGACGCGAATATTCTATAATTCCCAAGTGGTTTAAAGTGTCGGGGACGCGAACAGGGTAGAATTTACAAGGGTTCATTCTGGCGTCGAGGACGCAAGTATTGTATAATTCACGAAGGTGTATGGCCTCGGGGACGCGCACACCGCGAATTCACAAGGGGTTTATGGCCTCGGGGGCACACATATTGTGTAAGCTACGAGGGCTTATGGCCTCGGGGGGCGCAAGCATTGCGTAATGTACACGGGTTTATGGCCCCAGAGGCGCGAATATTGTATACTTCAAAACGGTGTGTGGCCTCGGGGACGCGACCATTTTGTATTGTACGATTGCGTATGGCTTCGGAGACGCGAATCTTGAATAATTCATGGGGGGTGATGGTCTCGGGGACGCAAGCATCTAGTAATTTACAATGGTTTTTGGATTCGGCGACGCGAATAGTGTGCAACGTACAAGGGTTTATGGTTTCGGGGGCGCGGCTTTCATGTATTGTTTGGCATCCCACGCCCCCCCAGAATTTCAGAGAACCCTCCTGGGTGGTGATAGCCAGGGTGGTTTTCGGCTCCCCCCTCTCGCAGACAGTAACAATTTACAGCATGAAGCAGAAATCAAGACTGTAACACTGGAAACTAGAAACTGCAACAGGCGCAGGGAGCAGCAACCTAGTCCCACAGCCTGTTGATCCCACAAGGGGGCCAACCTATTTCCTTGTGTTTGTGTTCCCAAACAGGGCTTGCACTTGATGACAGGGGCCGTGGTTTGGATTACCCAAGGAATTGGACGAGTCCGCGCCGAGGTTCGCCCGCTGGGGCCACGTGCGCTGGCTGGGTCCGCTTGGGTTTCGCTTGGCGCCCGGTTGGTGGCCAGTCGTGGGCGCCTCGTGGGCGCCCACTGCGATGGGTGGGTCCGCCGGCGTTTCGCCTGATGGTCTCCCTTGGGCGCCCGCTCGGGCGCCCCGTGCGCTGGCTGGGTCCGCCGAGGCTTGGCTAGGTGGCCGCCCATGGGCGCCCGTGTGGGTCCCGGAGTGGATTCTCTTTTCATCAGAGAGAGGGTCTGCTTCTGTCATCCTCCCCCCTGGGGTGAGCGACATCCCAGGACACTGCAAATTATAGGCGATCCTGCCGATCCTTCGTTTCAGCATCGGAAATCATGCCATCCCAGCCGGGCGGCGATCGACCCCACCACGTCCTCCCTGCCAGCGACCAGTCGTTTATTTCGATACAATTATTCATACAATGCGCACGCTCGTTTATCTCAAACGGTCATTTGGAAACACGCCCTTGCAATAGATACGACAGGGATACAGCAAAGCCAACACGTGCGCGCACATGTCAACCCAACACATTCAGTAGGCAAGCGCTTCAAAGTAAACACATCAACCCCTTATCAGGTGGTTTACCAAACACCTCGCACGTGTTCTGCCCGAGCGCGCTTGTTGCATTCATAGGGACAGCACATGGTTTTTGCGATCTCGTGCATAACTGGCGTTCTCATTTCACCGCGGGGTGCATCTGCGTTGATCTAGCACGCGCCCAGTGCTCGAATCCGAGTCGAATGATATGATGTGGGCCACGCGCGCGCATCCGCCCGCGCATATCGAACTCAATCTAAATCATGTGGCTTTGCATGCCAAGGTACATATATCCAAGAACAGATGAAACCCAGCAATTGTTCAACAGAAAGCCTCCCAGATGTATTGAATTTCCGCTCGCTCGCTGTGCTTCACCATTCCCCTCATCAGCGCCATAGCATCACAGCCGTCATCGTCATCGCACATCGCCGCCATTGTCAACATCATCAGCATCATTTTCACCTTCACCACCAGCATGTGGACTTCATCATCGCCATCGTCGTCACCAGCATCGGTGCCGTCATTGGCCTGGCCGTCGTCATCGGCGTCATCGCCACAACCCTCGCTGTTGTCGTCATCGTTTCTGCCGCTGCCGGCGTTGTAATGATACCGCGTCCGCGCTATCCACCGACCCGCCTTGAATTGCCCGCGCGCCAGAGCAGCCTTTGAGACGCGCTGGAAAGTTCCAATCGGTAAGCGCCGTCGCGGCCGCTTCAGTTGTGCCAAACCATTTGGTCGCTTTGCGCGCGAGCATTGGCGCGCCAGCGCGGCCGCGCAGATGCGCCAGCAAGTCTTAAGCAGTCGTGGCCGCATGGGTTCGGCCAAACAAGTTGCAGGTGCGAGGGTAAGATGGTCGCGAGAGCACTGGAGCTTACAAGCCATGAGTTGACCCATTAAATTGCACCACGTAGTTTGCACCACCTAGCTTTCGCTATGCAGCTTGCATCGCATCGTTTGTGCGACATGGCTGGCACCGCAAATCTGCACACACGTGTGTGCTGAATTGCATCGCGCACCACGTAGATCACACGACGAAGCATGCACCACATGGATTGCACCACGCTGCTTGGACAATAGATGTTGCACCAAATAGCCTGCACCACATAGAGTGCACCACACAATTTGCACAATGTAGTGTATCCTTTTTCCATGATGTTTTATGAAGACCCGGGAACAGAACAACGAATCGGCTCTACCACCCCTCCCCCGCCCCCCCCGGGATAACCATTCTCCCCCTAGGACATGGCACATGAAGTGTAAATGTTCTTCATCGCTCATTTTGCGTATGAACTCGTACTTCTCCAGGGGGGGCGTTTTTTCCATCGCCCCCAAGTATTACATGCGCACGCGCGTTTAGCTAACACATGTTTGATCACTCCAGGTGATTACATGGCAACAACCAAACGCGCGCGTCGTCGCGCGCGCATGTCGGATTTCTTCCACCTGCTTATTGGTGTTGTAAAGAATTCAAAACAGACGCTCCTAATAACCAATGAAATGCGAGCCATGGTTTCCCGATCTTACTGTTCAGCAACATCTGCGCGCGCGCTCTCTGGCGAGTTCTTGGGGAAACCGTTGCTTGTGTTTCAACGTGTTCTTCCGATGAGATCACGCGGGTATCTCGCGCGCGCATGTCGAAATTATTCGAACGCCCTTGCCCGCCTGCTGCGGGGGGTGAGCACGATCCCTGTCACACAACGCCATGTGGGCCACGCGCGCTCGTCGGCCGCGCGTCTGTCGAAGCCCTTCCAACACGTCATCAGTGACACATGTGCATCATCGTCGTTACCGGCGTGACCAGCATCGGCGCCATCGTTGGTTCTGCCGTCGTCATCGCCATCATCGCCACCACCGTTGTTAGTATTAGAATCGTTCCTGTTGCCGACGTCATCATCATACCGTGCCCGCCCGAGCCACTGACGCGCATTAAGGTGCCCGTGAGCCAGCGCAGCGCGGCATTTGACGTGCGCTGGGACGTTGCCGTGGGTAAGCGCCATCGAGGCCGCACGGGCTGTGCCAAACCAGCTGACTGTTCTGCGCGTGAGCTTGTTTGCGCCAGCAGCCGCAGAGATGCGCCAGCCATGGCCAAGCAGTCATCGCAATCGCCGCCGCATTAGCTTTTCAAACCAAGTTGCGGGTGGGAGGGTGGGGTGATTGTGCGAGCGGTGGAGTTGACAATTTCGAGTTCCGCGGGGTGGATCTGGGCCGCATAGCTTACACCACGTCAGGTTGCGCCACGTAGGCTGCGTCACAGAGAATGCACCTCATAGATTGCACACCCAGAGTGCCAGAATGCCCTGTCAGGGCTGACACCCAAGGTGCTGTCTGACACTGCTTGTTGCTAGTCCTGTGAGTTCCCACGTGCTGTTGCCAGTTTTCGGGTCCAGCCGCCAGTAAGCTAACCTTCCAGGCCCCAAGCTTTCTTTGTTATGTGTGACGTTATTTGTCATCTGCTGCTTTTTATTCTGGCCCAGTGGTTCTGCGACATTTCCTGGGCCAGGGCTGCGCAAAGTACCGAGTCGCATGCGTTTGTTGTTATCAGGACCGCTACCGAGTCGGCTGGCTTGATATCAACATGTCCTCTTGCGCTGTCAGGGGTCACGCCTGTTTTCTTCCCAGCGGCGCCGTTTCCCATGTTCGTATGGCTCGCATCAGCTTTGGGCAGTGCCAGCGAAGCAGGAGCCTGGCGAGGTGTATTCCGACCCTGGTTTGCCTTCTCATTTTTTGGCCTCGCAAGCCTGGCGACGCGAGGGGTGTGTGAGTGATGGACTTTATGGGTGGGCCGCCGAAAGCGAGCAGTACAGTCAGCCCTCATAGTTGGGATGAGCAACCTTCCCAAGGTTACCCCTGCATCCTTGCCTCCTCGGCCCACCCTTGGCCACTTTCGCTGGCCGCGCCCCGCTCGAAAGGCTTCGGAATGGGCGTCCACGGCGCTTGCACCCTTACCGTGAGTACTTATGATGCGGGCTCACTGTACGCTGTCGACGCGTTGGCGTTGCGAACGGCTCCCTCCTGCCATCCTTGCCTCTGCGTCCATGGGCCTGGCTTCGGGCAGTTCGTGCTCGGGCCCGGTTCTGCGGGCAGTGCACCAGAATGCGGTGTAGCTCTGGGGCTAGCGTTGAGTCGGGCATGTCCCTCTACAGGAGTAGTATTCAGATATAGCCAACAAATAGTCGAGGGACGATTTTTCTATTATTTTCTATGTTTGAGTATGGTTTAAGAGATGTTTATTTGTCATCAAAAATCCGCCTGCAGGAGGACATGCCCAACTTCAGGCTAGCGTCCCAGACGTTCTTGATCCTACCCCTTGAGCCTCCTGGCCTTTGCACGTCCAGCGGATGGGCGAGCCCGGCTCCGACGGAGTGCCTCCCTCTCTCCGCCCTTGCCTCGGCGCAGCTCTTGCTCGCGCCTGCGCACGCGCGCGCACACGGCGGGGGGGCGGCGCACCGGCAGGGCTGGCGGGGGGCCCGTGGCCCCGGCCGGCATCGAGGCCTGCCTCCTGCCCCGGGCCGCGGTCTCCGGGCGTTCCAGCAGGTTCCTCGAAGAGGGGAGCCATGGAGCCCCGTGCCCCCGAGGCAGACTTTGGGCGTGCAGCGCGGCAGACCTCCTGCTGCCGCATGCTCTCTGCCCGCGTCCGACCTTTTCGCGTGCAGTGCGTCCGGCCCGCCCCCCCGCCTCCCCCCCCCCCCCCCGGCGAGGCGTCGTGCCCGGCCCGAGTTTGATTCGGAGGAGCCGCGCGGACGGCAGATAATTGTCGGACGTCCTTGGAGAAGGGGACAGAGGAAGGAGGACAAGGCATCGACACCCGCTACCTTTGCCTCGTTTTCGCCTTTTTGGGCCTCCTGGGGGGCTCTCGTCGCCCCCGCTGGATTCGCGTCGAAATCCTTGTCAGAACGCACCACGGGAGAGGCCGAGGCGGCAGCTGTATCGGTACCTTTTGGTCTCCCCAGTTCTTTGGAGGTGGAAGGGGGATTCTGCAGGTCGGCGCCTTGACTCCCCTTGAATTCTGGGTTGGCCCTGTATCATTCTTATAATGTTCCGAGTAGGTTTTGTACCATCGATATAGAGTTCCCGGTAAGTCTTGTACCATCCCTATAGACTTGCCAATAGGTCTTGTACCAGTCGCTATACAGTTTACCATACTTACAGAGTTCCCAGTAGGTCCTACACCTTCCTTCTAGAGCAATCGGAAAAATTCGCTGCGCTGGCGCGCACATCGATAGTGTGCCCAGAATCCCATCGGGAAATTCTGTAGTATTCAGTTGTTTCACGTGGGTAGGACTGGAAGTTGCGCTGTTGCGGTTGCGCCCCCCCGCTGCAACTGGGGGCGGGGTACCAGGCTCCCGTTCTCGCCAGGCCAAGAGATCTTGGGGTGCCGGTGCCCCTGGTGGCAGGGTACTAGGAACCCGTTCTCGTCTTGCTGTTGTCGTTGTCGTTGCCTTGCGTTGCGTTGTTCTGGTGTCGTCGTCCTCCTCCCCGCGACCCCCCCCCCGCGGTCCACCCGCCCGCCCCCCCACTTCTGCCCGCAATGGCGGGGTGCTGCGTGCAGGCCCTCACCGCCCGCCGGGGTCCCGGGGTGCCAGCTCCGCTGTCGGTGGACCTGCATCCCCGCTTCGCACCTTTGCCCTCCCAGGGGGCCCCAGCGGGCACCGCCCTCGCAGCCCCCGCAGGAGGAGGCGGAGGAGCCGGAGGCGCCGCGGCACGAGGAGGATCGCCCCGAGACCGCGGGGTTGCCGCAGGGGGGTGCTGCTTCAGTGAGATACACATGGGGGTGGCGGAGAAGGGGGGGGGGGCGATCGAACAGCCGCCGAGTAAGCCAAGGGGCGCACAAAACGCAACCACACGCGCTCAAAACACAGCCAAACGTACGCGGCTGCACAACAGTAGTAAGCGGTCTGAACTGTTCTGAACCAGGCGGCCTTGTTTCAATTTGCCCTAGAGTTTCTCGCCAGACGAACCTCTTTGTTTCAAATTCTCTCAATTTGGGTCGCCCACACGATATTATATTTCAATTGTGTCAATTCCTTTCGAACTTTTCAAGTCTTCTCAATTCCTCTCGATCTAGTTCACCATCAGAAAACGCAACTACACCAGAACTTTTTGAGGTTTTGAGGGGCCGTTGCTTTCTCAAAAATTCCCGGGCGCGCTCATTTTTCGCCCCCCCCCCCCGTCGACGCCACCCCCATGTGGATTTGCATGAGGTACGTGCGATCGGTGCGGCCTCGTCGCAGGGTCCACGTCGATCCGATCGATCCGATTCGATGTCGGTTCTGGGCGGGTCGATTCGATTTGCTTCCGATGTCCGGTCGGTCCGATGCGGCTCCGTGCTTGCATGGCGCTATTGTGCATCCAGACGCCGCCGATGGGATTCGATTCCGGCTCCATGCAAATCCATTCGCGCCGTTTTCGGTTAGCAGACGCCCGAAATGGCGAGAACGCGAAAATCATTAAAACACCACTTTGGAAAATCAATATGTTGTGGCTCCTGAGGCACTCTTGGGAGTTCTCTTAGTTTCCTCTTGTCCTTTTTCGGCGTCTTCGGTCGTCTTGATGCTATCATGGGTGTTATTGAGGCCTCTCAGCCCTACCCCCCATCCCTAGTACCCTAGCGGGATGTTGGACCCCAGGGGGCGGGGGGGGGAACAGAGGTACGGGGGACAGCCAATTGTTCCACTCGCCATCTCAGCACCCGCAAGCGGATTTCGGCGGATTTGTCATTACGTTCTGATTTGTTCACTCTCCTCATACCCGAGGCTCGAAGCTTCCGTCCCATAGCCACTGTGGTTGTGGTTCTAGTGTCTATGTCTCTGCTCCGCTGTGCGCGCAGCTGAAGTCGTCACCTGAGCTTGTCGCACACGGCCGTCATCCACAGGGCGGTGCTGGTCCCTCCGTGCTTGTCGCATGCTGCAGTTGTTCGGTTTCGCATGGCTGACCGTGAGACTCCCGTGGAGTCCCCAACTCGGGTCATGAATTTCAGCGAGCCTGGCTTGTGCTAAGCTGCGCCCATGAGCAGACTTTTCAGAAAGCACTGGAAGAAGATCGGAGAACAAGTCGACCATGGGAAGCGACGGGCCTCAGACATCAGGGTAATAGTTGCTGGCCTCGTCCGCGTCCCTATGCCAGTCCCCCCCTATCGTTGCCCCTCAGTCAGGGGGGCAAGCGGGGAAAAAACAGCGGAGCTGCGGCGGCCAGAGGACGTGGACGACGAGGAGGGCATGGCGGACGCGGAGCGGCCCGCGACTCAGCTGTGCCAGTGGTTGTGCAGCGCTGGCGCCGCAGATGCCCGTGTTAGACGCAAGGAAATGATCAAACCGGCCCAGGAGGAGAAGGAGGAGGAGGAGGATGAGGAAGGTAAATCGTCGAGAGCGCTCCAGAGGGCTCTCAGAGCGTTCCGAGGCGCTCTGGGACGGACGTGGCCCGATACGTCCTCGAGACCCGCCCGTTTTCCGAGATTCCAGGTCTTTCTGAGCTTGATGTTGCTTCCATTCTGCCTTCCGTCTTGCAGGAGCGCGCGGCAGTCACATGCTTCTCTCGAGCCCTTCCGCAGAGGCTCCGACGCTGTTGCCGCGAGGCTCAGGGACCGCCAGTGGACGTGCCGATCCAGGAGCCTTTCGTGAACAGCGGGCTGTCAGAGATTGCGCTGCCCCGAAGGGAACACGCTGCCCCGAAGGGCGGACTACACAAGAAACACCATGCTTGCGCCCAGGGCGCCCTGGGTTTCTTGATTTTCTTGGCTTTGCTATGGAAAGCGTGACGCTCCCACACCAAAAATCGGTGGACGACCTGGGGTCTCAGGGCTGGGTTTCTTGTGGAAGGCTTCTTGTGGTCGGACCCCTACTGTAGTCTGAGAGCGGTCTGCGGGTGCCCGAAGCGCCGTGGCTGCCCACGCGAGGACCCGCGGACTGCTCAAGCAGTGGCGAGGCGCCCTTGCGCGACATGTTCCACAGCGATTTCTGGCTGGGGCCGTCTTGCTTCAGTGCTGCTTCGGATGCATGCTATGAGAACCTTGCTGTTCCCCCAATCATCGCTTGCACTGAAGGGGTCCTAGCGGGTATTGAAAGATTTGGCGCAAGTCCCTGGCCGATTTCGGTAGCCGGCTGGGTTCCCAGTTCCGGGTTCGCGGGTTCCCGGCTGCTGATTCTAGGGATCCCACGATCCCAACTGTTTCAAACATCCAGTGATTAGGGCTTTTCTCAGGGGTAGTTGATATTTAAACGTGATTTGGTTTTACAGTGGAGACCCATGCCAAGAAACACCCTGCTTGCCTCCAGGGAATTATGGAAAGCTTGACGTTCCCACGCCAAAAATCGGTGGACGTCCTGGGGTCTCAGGGCTGGGCTTCTCGTGGAAGGCTTCTCGTGGACTGGCCTCCACTGTAAGAGCCCGTCGCGGCAGGCTCGAGGGCATGCCGGGGCGGTCGCTCCCTGCTCGAACTTCGGGGCAGCGGCCTGGCAGGCAGGGAGGGCGCGCGGCAGTCGCGTGCTTCCCGCGGGTGCTCCCAGCAGAGGCTCCGCCCCTGCTGCCCCGAGGGGCGGGCGAGTCTGCGATGAAGTCGGGCTGGCCCCTCTGGAGGAGGACGGGTCAAAGATGGCCAAAAAGCAAGAGTCTGGGGGATGCCTGGACTATGCTTGAATCTGCTTGAATGTGTCTTTGACTTTTTTCTGTGTGACCCGTCCCAGAGCCGCCTGCGGGAGGACGTGCCCGACCGGAGGAGGAGGGAGGAGGGAGGAGGAGGAGGAGGAGGAGGAGGAGGAGGAGGAGGAGGACGAGGAGGAGGAGGAGGAGGAGGAGGAGAGCAGCCCGCGAAGCCGCCGTGGCCGCCGGCGCGAGACGGGCGAGCGTGCCCGCGAACCTGCCCCCGTGCATGCCGTGGCCGCTCCGCCCCTGCCCGGCTCCTGGGGAGCACCTGCAGGGGAGTCCTCCTCCTCCTCGTCCTCCTCGTCCTCCTCCTCCTCGTCCTCCTCCTCCTCCTCCTCCTCCTCGTCCTCCTCCTCGTCCTCCTCCTCCTCCTCCTCCTCGTCCTCCTCCTCCTCCTCCTCCTCCGCCTCCTCCTCCTCCTCCTCCGCCTCCTCCTCCTCCTCCTCGTCCTCCTTCTCGTCCTCCTCCTCGTTCTCCTCCTCCTCCGCCTCCTCCTCCTCCTCCCGCCAGTCACCAAGCAAGCAAAAGCAGAGAGCCGCGCCCCGACGGCGCATCGGCAGGAAATGTGCACGTGCATACGTGGAACATGTCACGAAGCCTCGGCCGCCAGCACGTGCAAGTGTTGTGCAAATGGCGTGCGAGGGTAACTGGGCAGCAGCGCTCCGTCTCAAGAGGGGCAGGGGGGATTGGCGGGGGGGAGGGGGTCCTGACCCTTTGCGCCGTCTTCGGCCATCCGAGGCCCTCACTGGGCCCTCGGGAGCGTTCAAACTGTTGAGTGGACGAAAATCAAGGTTCCACAGGCTCCCCGGTCGTGTGGGCGGCAACGTGGGGGCATCAAACGTAGCGTGAAGAAGGCAGCGCCTTTTTACATCTGTTTGGGGCCTTGTGTTGCTTCGCACCGTCTTGGCAACGTGGGGGCATCAAACGTAGCGTGAAGAAGGCAGCGCCTTTTTACATATGTTTGGGGCCTTGTGTTGCTTCGCGCCGTCTTGGCAATGCTCGGCGTCGGAGCCGCGCCCGCGGCTCACTGCACAGTGGACACGACACGCGTGGAACATCGGGCACAGTCTGTGGGTAAGGGAGCACCGTCCGGCCCCCGAGGGGCAGCGCGGCGTTGCAAGGGCCGCCGTGCTCCGTTCAAAGCAGCTGCCTTGTTTTTTGTTGATTTCCCCCACTCATGCCTATCAGCATTGGGCCCCACGCAGGGACCCTCTTTCGGTAGCAGTTCGTGGGAGATTCGCAGGTCCTCGACATCCCGTCTTCGGATGGCGCCGAAATATCGTCGATCTGGCGCCGACGTGCGTCGATGCGGCATCGATCTGCGTCGATAGGCGTCGATCAGCGTATGTTAGCGTCGACTCGCAAGAGCCACGCGTGCGCGCTCCCAGCGTGTGCGTCCCCCGAGGCACCCGACCAGACCAGGGCCCGTTTCCCGCAGAGAGCCCTGTTGTTGTCTTCCTCCTGCGGGGCCAGGCTGGCGAGGCGCGGCACTGGTAGCGTGAGCTCGGCCCAACATTTGTTTTGCCACTTGTGGAGTACTAAACCCGGATAGCGAAGCGCCAGGAGGCCGTCGAAAGGCTTCTCGAAGGAGCCCTGGACGCTCCTGGAAGGAGCTCCCGATTGAGCTTCTGGAGAGCTTCCGGGCAGACTTAGTGGGAGACGCTTAGAAAAGGCCTGCCGGGACACGCTGCAACCTCAGGCCGGCCCCACCGAGGTGTCCTGCCAGAAGTCGGGGGGTTATCTTGCGGTGCTGGCTTCTGATCTGTCGACCCAACCTTGTCTTGCCAAATCCGTCAAGGTGATCCCGACGGCCAGTCCAGCGTCGTGGTGGGGATCTGCTCGTCGTTGTGATTTGCAGCGTGTCGGCGCCAATTGGGCTGGTTTGAGGTGGTTGCACTACAGCGGGTCGATGAACCGACCACGGGCGATAATAAAACATCCCCCCCTTCATCCCCTCTATTTTCATTATTCCTGTCCTGCAGGGTTTAATTGTGGAGATAGGCGCGGAGGCCGAACTTTATAATCCACGGGGGAAGTTGCGAATCGAAGTTGCTATCATCTCATGTTGACTACCAACAGCGCCTGCTGGCAAGTTGTATAGCCACGAGCCTCGAGATCTCTCGAGTCAGTCTTGTGCCGAGCGCCTGCTGGCAAGTTCTATAGCCATGAGCCTCGAGATCTCTCGAGTGAGTCTTGTACAGAGCGCCCAGGACCACCACCATCATCATGATCATCGTCATAATCATCATCATCATTATCATCATCATCATCATCATCATAACTTACCTTCCCCGGGGAAATCCTTTATCATCCCCGCCAGAAACCCGAACTTTATCATCTCCCCGTGATTATGATCGCCCGCGCACGATTCGACAATATTACTAAGATTGGTTGATCGCTTTGTCTCTCCCTCTCTCTCCCTCGCTGTGTCTTTCTCTCTCTGTTTTTTCTCTATCCGTCTCTCTCCCTTCCACTTCTCTATAGCCTCACCTCTCTCTCTCTCTCTCTTGCTTTATCCCACACATACGCTTTCAATCCACATAATATGTTTATGCCCCCACTGCACTCATCACTACCTGCTGTCTTGCTTCTCTCTCTCGCTCTTCTCTCTCTCTCTCTCGCTCTCTCTGTACCCCCCTCCTCCTCCCGCTCTTCTCTTCGTTTGTTGTTTTCTTTGTTCTCTCTCTCTCTCTCTCTCTCTCTCTCTCCGCCTGCCACCAACTCTCTCTCCCTCTCTCCTTTTCTCTTTTGTTATTATCTCTCTCTCTCTCTTCTCCATTTTTTAGATGTAGATACCTGAATGCATCGATTATTCAAAAGAACTATACACACCTCTTGCCATTTCCTTTTACGGCTGTGTGTTCCCCCTTGGCGTGGAAAAATGCGAGTAGGAAATGGACATGCAGAATTGTGGAGGCATCTGTAATCTATTTGAGGGCTCGAGCTGGGACGCAGCAGTTTGCGCGTGCGCGGGCTGTAGCGGCAGATGCCATTGCTTTTCGGTATGTTTTGTAGGGTGGCAGAGGAGATAAAAATACGTGGAGTGTGCTACACGGGGGGGAAGGAAGAGAGAGAGAGAGAGAGAGACAGAGAGAGAGCCAGATGTGGAGGCACAGCAGCCTTCCAGCCTGTCTAGCCCAGTGTCAGCCTGCGTATCTCAGGTTCGACGCTGGCTTGTTCGAGGCTGGACCCCTTGAATGTGGCATGTTGTTATATCGGAGCAGTTGCTTCCGTTGCAACATGCATTGAGTATGCAGGGCAAGCCCAGATGCGCCGCTATCCATTTCATGTCAGGCAATATGATGAAGGAGTGGTTGGCAGCACCATTGCAATCACCCAGTGAATGATTTCAAGCCCTTCGCGTGTCCCCACCAGCCCAGCCCGCGACCACTTTCTTTCTTACTTTTAGCTGTGTCTCGCGCTCATTCACCATGACTGGTACTTTGTAGCGGCTTATTGGCTCATCCAGTCGAATTCGCAATAGGTCGGGCTCGGTGTCGTGTGTTCCGACCTGGTCTTGCTGGCCTCTTTGATGCGCGAGTTGGTTCTTCTGATTGCGGATGTGTGGTTGCGCAATTTTCGTAATACGGATTCCCTAGACTGGCCTTACTTTCTGTTTGTATTTCTTGCTGTTGTGCTCGTAACCAGTTCGGGTCGAGGGACGGGCGCGCAGAGACATCCTGAAGAAAATGTTGTGGTCTGGGCCGTGTCGTTTGAGACACCCTCACAACTAATGCTTGTGAGTTGGCTGGGATTGGGCGTTTCGCTCGAGACGTTCCTGCAATTGTGCGCTCCGAGCTGCCGCGCGCGAGGTGGTCTGGCCGTTTCGCCTGAAACATCCTCGCAATGATGAGCTCCGAGATGCCGCACGCGAGGTGGTCTGGCCCGGTTCGTTTGAGACATCCTCGTAATTCTTAGCTCCGACATGCCGCGCGCGAGGTGGTCTGGCCAGGAGGAGGAGGAGGAGGAGGAGGAGGAGGAGGAGAAGGAGGAGGAGGAGGAGATGGAGGGCAGGAGGAGGAGGAGGGAGCAGGCAGAAGGAGGTGGAGGGCGTCAGGAGCAGGATAAGGGATAGGTTCGGTCCGTTCTGCTTGAGAAGTTTCGTAGCCTCTCTCCTTCCTCCTCCCGCCTCCCTCCCCCTGCCTCCCACCTCCCTTCTCCCTCCTCCCGCCACCCGCCTGCTGCGCCTCCTCCTTCGCCTCCCCGTCGCCGCCTGTGTCATTTCTACCGGCTCAGCATCCGCCCTCCGCCCTCCCCAGACAGCCGACGTCACGATTTTTGTTTCGAGGCGTGTGCCTGCTGACCTGCTGGGACGTGGGCCCGCGGACCCCCGTGGGCGCATTACAAACGATGTGGCACACAACCTGGTGCAGCCCCCCATATTCTACAAATGCCATGCTCTCACGCACAGGGTATACGTGCGAACGCGATTGGAAGCCATCGTGCGTTACAACAGTGCTTCGGGGGGATACTGCGTTCCGGCTATCTCTTTGCTGCGTGAAGAATCCGACGCCCACATGCTGGTCATGTTGGATGCCCCATTTGTGACCCCGTTGGCGCCGTAGACACGTGAAGCCAATGGCCAAATGCGCATGCGCCAGACACATTATTGATGCCCCCCCCCCCTCTCCGCACCAGCATTTTGATTCGTAGAACTTCCGACGTCCACATGTTGGATGCCCCACGTTTGACTCCTTTGGCGTCGAAAGCACGTGAAAACACCGACGCCCACATGATGGATGCCCCACTTGTGGCCCCTTTGGCGCCGAACACATGCGAAAGTACTTGCTAAGCGCATGTGTGCCGAGACGCATGTTGGATAGACCCCCCTTCCGCGCACGTATGTTGACGTGCCCAAAACCTTCTCCGCGTGCTTACCCCCCCTCCAGTCTACAGTCGATGTTGATTAGTAGGTCGGTCTTGCCAAAGCAAAAATACAATTTTGATTTGTGTTTCGCGACCCATGCCTTTACACTTCTACGGCAATGTGACCCTCGAGACCCTCGGAAGGGTCTTGTGTCCTCTCGCGTGTCCTCTCCCATCAAACTCGACTGTATGGCCAAAGGCCTGCCCACACAAACACAACCTTGGGCCTGAGCCCTTACCGGGAAAAGTGGGCTGGAGAGACGCTGCGGGGTTCACGGGGGGCTCCATCCTCGCAGGAGACTGGTTCCGCACCCCGTGGCGATGAAGCGGCGTGACGGGGGGGGGGGGAGGAGGCGTGGGGGGCTGGTCACGTCACGATTCGCGTCGACGCCGTCTGGAACGCGCGGGAATGGACGAGTCCTACACGGCGCCGGCGCGAATCATGGCGTGACCAGGGGGGGGAGGAGGAAGAGGGGGGGTTGGGGCTGGCCACGCGCGTTATCGCGAGTGATAACAAAATGCGGGCTCCACATGTCTTGTCGCGGCGGCCGCACCGCAGGATCAACGAGAGGCAGAACATGATTCTTGCGTCGCAGCGAGTGACAGAGCATGGCATAAACGTACATTTTCGGAGGTCCGCGCGGATCTCTTCGATCGGCGCTGGAACCCCCTCCCTGGCCCGCGGAGCGCGCCAGGGGCGGCGCTGGAGGCGCCGCCAGGGGGCTCCAGCGCCGATCCGAGAAGTCCGCGCGGACCCACGAACGTTTACCCATCGGTCGTCGAGAGTAGGTATTTTTGGACTGCCAGTTCCCAATCTATTTTAGCCGCCTTCTTACAGCCGAGTGGTTTTCCCTCTTCCCTCCTCTTTAGGAAGGCGTTGAAAGTAGATTGAGAGTCTGCCCGCCCCCTGCAAAGAGGAGGGAAGAGGGAAAACCACTCGACTCTTGAAGTAGGAAGGTGGCTAAAGTAGATTGGGAACTGGGAGTCCAAAAATAACTACAGTGGGGGCCCACGCCAACCTGCTTGCCTCCAGGGTGCCCTGTTTTTTGGGGGTTTCGATGCTTTTGCTATGGAAAGCGCGACGTTCCCACCAAAAGCGAACGGACGTTCTGGAATCTCCGGGTTGAGTTTCTTGTGAAAGGTTTACTGTGGGTCGGCCCCCACTGTAGCGCACAACATGATATCATCTGCATTCCGTGTGCCTGGACATTGAGGTTCGCGTCGTGTCGACCGGCTGCGACCCTCGTGCCAGGTTGAACGATCCCCGTGGTGTCAGGAACCAACGCCGGGGTTGGCACGACACGAACTTGCCGTAAGTTTCTTGCCGGATTCGATGAGTTCTCAGCTTGTCCGATGCGGGTTGTCCATGTTGCCATGGCCATTTCCAAGCGGCGGCGAAGGAGGGGGGGAATGAGAAGGACAAGGCTTTCTCAGAAGGCGGCGGGATTTCTGAGAAGCGTTCCTGCCTTCCGAGTTTTGTTATCGTGTCTTCGGGGAAGGCTTCGAAGACTTCTCAGCAGGCCGGGGGACTTCCGAGCCTTCCGAGATTGCCTTCTCCTTCCCGCTTCCCCCCGCGGGCTCGCCGCCGATCCAAGCCAGCATGAAACAGCATCGGGCTGATGGCGTCGCCTTGCTCGCCTTAGTCCCAGACCGATGCGTTTCGCATCCTGCGGCTCCTCGGGGCCGTTCGTGGGGCTCTGGGGCCGCCAGAGGATGATCAGGGGTGAGAGGTGCGTCCCCCGCGAGAAAGGGTCAGTCATGTCGCCGGGGCTTTGGGAATGACTGTTGGGCGGGGTGGGGTTCTAGGCCTCCTAGCTGGGGTCGGAGTTAATGGGGTCGGAGGATCGCGGCGCATCGCCGATGAATCGGCGATGCGGCTCGATGTGGAGCCCGTGTTTCCCCACGCCGTCGTCGCCGATGCATCGCCGAAGTCGCCGATGCGTCGCCAACGCATCGCCGATAAATCGGTGAGACATTGGCGATGCGGCGCGATCCTTCGACCCCATCTACTCGGACCCCATCCAGGATGCCTCTAGGGACACTTGGGTGAGGATGCAGCTACTGGGAAGTTAGATTCAGAATCTGCGCTGGTGTATCCGTGGTCTAAAACTGGCATGATCCCGCCTAATCTGGCGTTATCCCGCTTCATCCGGCTTCATCCAGCTCGATGCGGCGTAATCCGGCTCAGTCCCAGGCTGAATCCGGCCTGGTCCGGCGAAGTGGCCCCTTAAGCTGGCTTGATAGTTGTGCAGAGTGCTGGCGAAGACCTCCCGGGAGTTGCCTCCCAAATGACATCGGAGGTTTTGGAGTGACCGTTGGGCGTGGTGAGGGGGCCTGGAGACTGCCCGCTGCGGCCGCGCCCGCGTGGTCGCCCTGCAGGCCGCCGACAGCGACGCCGAGATGGGCGTGGGAGAGGCGCGCTGGCATGTCGGGGGCACTCGGGGGTCCCCTCGGTCGTGCCCGTTTCGCGAGCCCTCTGTTCCGGCATGGGCGAGGAAGGGTTCTTGGAGGAGAGAGGTCTTGCAGTCGTCTCGCCGTATTCGATCTCCCAGGGCGCTGCCCAGGCCCGATGACCGTCCAGGAGCGACTCAGGATTGAAACCTGTTCTCGGGGAAGGCCATGGGGTGCAGAACTCCTTGCATTCGGGACTATGCTGAATCGACACCGAATCTACCATGACCAGTCGACGATGGGACCCAGCGGTGTAGCTGAGGCAGGCCGAGGACGAGGACGAATATCCCCAGAGTTAAATCGGGCATGTCCCTCTACAGGAGGAACATTCAAACATCGTCTAAATAGTCAGGGGACGATTTTCTGGGCCTTAGAGGGACTCGGGGGACCCGGGAGGACTCAAGGCGGTGCTGCCCATCGGGCCAATGAGTCAGGTCTTGAGGTCAGCGTTTCGGGCTATGGCTTCGAGCGCTATGACTAGGGTCTTCGGGTCAGTGCTTCGGGCTAGGACTTAGGCTGAAAGTTCAGGGCCAATGGCTCGCACTTGCGTCCTCGCCTCACGCCCTCTCCCAACGGTTCTGGCATTCTTGGTCGTCGGCGCCTCCTCTCTCAGTTCGCAGTTATCCAGCGTTTGTGCTTCGGTTTCGGTATCGTCCCTTCTTCCCGGCTTCATTGTGTCGCACCTTCGCTGCATGTTTCTTCGATGGGCGTTTCCCAACTTCTGGCAGTCGGTTTCGTGGCATGGCTTCTTGTGTTCGGCCTCCTGGCTCTTTCGGTGGTTTTGCCTTCCTTCTTCTGTATTTGAGCCTTCGACCTTAATAGTGCGCCCTGGCCTCCACGGGACCCAGAGGCCGAGGAGGAAGAGAACGACGACCCGATGATGCTGTGATGCGCCTTGGGGCCGCCAGCATGCTTCGGCCCGCCCTTGCAGTCGCCACGGACCTACAGCTGTCCGTGGCCCCAGCGGCGGCAGGCGCATCACCCCGACCTAGACGTTCCAGGAGAGCCGAACACGTCCAATTGCCAGGCGTGAGTGGACATTCACAGAACACCCACGTGGGAATAAGAGACGAGCAGGCAGGCATCACATGAGCACGGAGGCATGTACACAAAAAAGCATACGAGCCAGCATGCAGGCGAGCAGAGAGGCATGCACAGAGGCAAACCAACAGGCAGGCAATCTGTCAGTCAAGTAAACAAGCGATCGCGCAAGCAAGCGGGCAGAAGCGCAATTACGCAACGATGCAAGATAACACTCAAGCCACCAATGAAGCAAGAGAGCACACACACAACAGCATATGCACTCAGTTCAGCACGCAACCAGTCGTGCAGCCACGCAATCGAGCAACCACGCAGGTGTGCAGGCAAGCAGCCACGTGAGCGAGCAGGCACTCGCACGAGCAGGTAAGCACGCAGTCAAGTAAGCAAGCGCGCGAGCAAGACGTCCGGTGGCACTGCCACCTCGGCGGACAGGGGGCGTCACCGCCCGCCTCTCGCGGACGCTCTCTAGTGCATGTGTTGTTTTTTTTACCGCCTCACGCTAGGGAGGCATGCGGGCACAGAGGCATCTGCCCTCTCAGCCCGTTCTCGGCCGGCTGTTTAACACATTGCGGGGTCGGGGTGTGGAAGAGGGTGGAGGCCGTGGCTTTGTTGTTGTCCTAACCAGGGTCGACGGGATCAGGCAGGATCCCGTTGTCGTTGACAGTGTTGTCTGCGCTCTGATCCGCAGTCAGGAATCTGAGATCACTGGGAACCTGGAGCCCAGAACCTGGAGCCGTCGTCGCCGCCGATTCGGTCAAGAGCAGACGGATACCCCTTCTTCATCAACGCCGCTGGTTGAACAGCAGCACGTCTAATTGCAGGCAACTGGATTGTGCAGGTGTGTTCAAAATTGTTCTAAGATCTTTCAGGATGATTGTGTCCCAGCTCACAAAACAGGGCATCTTCTTGTTGGGGCAGCCCCGGTTGGCCTCAACCACGTCTCGGAACTATTGTTGTTGGTGGGATGGTGGGCTTGTGGCGATGGCAGCAGCAGTGGCGGGGACCGTTTACCGCTCGCCTCTTTTTGAGGCATCTTGTACACAGTGTGCTGCCAGGACTGTTTTTGCAGCCTGCAGCCAGTAGGAACAACGCTTCCATTGTACATAGCGCCACGGCTTCGTTCAGAAGGCCAGCTGGCAGAAATGCAGGGGGTGGACCGCTGCGGACTGTTCTCGTAAGGGCCCCGTCCTTCTAGCGAGTCCGTCGCAGTCAGCGGGCAGGGCACAACGTCTGAGGCCAAACAGTTGGTTGCGCCCGCGCTTGCCTCAACCCCTACGCCTCATGCTTCTACTGCTGCGTTCCTATTTAGTCCTGAGCAGTACTGTGGACCAGCCAGGAGCCTCCAGGCGGTAATCCAGCTCTGCTGTTGCTCTGCTAAGGAGCCGTCTCTCCTATTGCCCCACCCGACGCCAACGATCCACCCACCCCACGACTTCCCAGGTGACTTTGCAAATTTGGCTTCTCGACCATCGTACACGCAGGCCTCCGTCCTGACCCGCATTCGCAGAGCAGCGCACGCCCCCCGCAGTACTGCTGGCGCCGCAGGCAGTCTGTGCTGCCCGGCTGCCTGACAGCGATGGTCCCGTGAGGCCTTGGCAAGAAAGGGGATCGCAGCTTGTCTGTGCACGTCTGGGCGTGTCGAGGGGGAAGGCTGTGGATGCCATGACAGTGGACACTCGAACAATCCCATCATTGAGTTAAACATGTGTTTAACAGGTATAGAATCACATCTTCTACAAATGCTTGAACCATGTGTTTTACATGTTAAACCATATTGGACACATGTTTAAGACATCTGGAAATTAGTTGGCAGCACGCTTCCTCGACATCGATCGGCTTCCACAATGGGGAAGGATAGAGTTGGTTGCGGCTCCTGTGCCGCGCCAGGCTGACGAAAGCCCCAGCGGCTCCTTCACTTTTTGTCACTCAGCGTTCCCGACGAGCCCCCCCCCCACGCGAGCCGACGGGAGAGGTGACACTGACCCAGCGCTCTCAACCCCCTGAGCAATGCATCGCAACTCTGCGACGCTGCTAGCTAGCGCGCGCATGTTTAAGGTTTCTCGCCATCGCCAGCAATACAGCAAGCCTCGGGAGGCAGGCATAGACCTCTAGAGAACGTCGCGGGCCGTCCTCGGAGGCAAGAGCGCGCTGTTTGAAGGAAAGCTGCCGCAGTCTCCTCCGTAGGGCACCTGCAGGCCAGCTCGCGTTCTTCACTGCCGGCTCCCCCAGAACATCTCTCCCGACCCAGCCCTTCTTTTCCCAGTTCCATCTTTCGCCGAGCGCGTTCCACTACTCGCAAGATGCCTACTCGCAAACGTCTCAAGAAAACATGGCTGCCTCGGTGTAATGGATCTCAAACCCCTCGCGGCGGCTCCAGGCTGTTTGCGAGCGGCTACTTTGCGAAGAGCAGAACGCGCTTGTCTGTTCTTGCGCGCTACAAGTATAGGCACCAGTGAGGACTAGCAATGTTGCCGAGTACATGGTATGATCGCTCCCCCGCCGACGAGATGACGCTGTGAGACCTCACGGGGAGAAGCTCGCTCCCCTGGCCTTGCGGAGCGCAGTCGCGAGGCCCTGGTAGCCCAGATAGTCCTATTTATTTCGTCTCGTCTCGTCGACGAGTGACGACATAACCGTTCCCGCTGAATCGGCCACCAGGCCCCACAAGCAGTCCCTATCATCCCCAGTTCCCCGCCTCGCGCCCTCGACAAATGGCAGCAGAACCGATGCCAGATCAACACGCAACGCACCAGACAAGCGGCACCCATGACAGACACACCATATGATTTCAAACCAGCCGTAGCGAATGCATGTCAAGAACACAACAATGCATAAGGAAGACACCTGACTCGCATGCGGAGCAGTCATGTGTACATGGGCTGGGTGTAGATATTAGACATATATGTAACACTTCGGAGTATGCGCACATAAAGCACAAGATAATGCACACGTTTCGGCCATAACAAGGAGCTTCTATCGCACCATCCACATGCGCAGAGGGCTGGCCAAGGTCATATACATAAGGAGTGGGCATATCGAACCCTCGTCACCGAACACATACTTAACATAAAACAGTAATTGCAGCCAATGTTTGAGAGGCGGCGACGGGCGGCAACGGCCCGCCACCACGCGAAGACCAAGAGACGGCCGCCACGTATTGAGAACACACACGTAACTTACAACCCCCAAGGTCATGTCAGCGGCCCCACAATGGGCTTCCATGGCGTTCTTCGAAATGTCCTGGGTGGTTTCGAGGCCCGCGATGCGTGGAGTGGCCACCAGGGCTCCCCAACGTTGCCTCCTTTGTCCTGTCGCCGTGGTCCTTCTGCTCCGCCTCCTCCTTCCCGTCATCGTGCTCCCCTCCCCCTCGCACTCCTGGAAGGGGCGCAGGGCGTGTGGGCGCGCTCTGCTGGCTCCTTCCCCTTCGAGCCTGGCGCGCACCGCCGGCTCCCGAGCAGTGAGGCAGGGAGCTCCCACAGGCGTGGCCGGTCCGGCACCGCTGCCACGGCGGCTACCGGCCCACAGGGTCGCTCCCTCGCGGCCGGCTCGACACAGACGTCGCTCTGTGACGAGGAGGAGGTGGGAGGATGGGGAGCAGCATGTGGGCACCAGGTGGAGTACAAGGGGGGTTCGGAGAAGTATGAAGATGCGTAACATGAGGAGTGGGATGAGGAGCAACACATGGGCACCAGGAGGAGTAAAAGGGGGGTTCGGAGAAGTATGAAGAGGCGTAACATGAGGAGTGGGATTAGGAAGACGACGATGAGGATGGGATCCTCTTCTCCGACACACCAAGCGATTTCACCGGGCTCTGCAACATCGCCTGAAGTACATTCCAACAGGGGCCGCCACCTTAGCACGATCAGTTGCTGAAGGAAAGCCCGCGTGGCAGGGCGTCAAGAGATTGTATCTCTGCATCTGCAACCTCGATTGAGGTCTTCCAAAGTGGCGAGGATTCTGCCTTGGATAGTCCACGGAATTCAATAATGGCAAGCGTTCTGAAGACAACAATGTTTGCCTTTGCAGTTGTGGCGTGCGTGCAATGGGATGGTGACAGCAGGTCCACCGAAGGCAAGCATGTTTGGCATGAAGGAGCATGCCTTCAATGACGGCACAGCAGGAGATAGACTCCCGTTACCTGGCTGCTCCGCGGAGAGCACAGCGAGCATCGCCCTCGAGCTACCGCGGGGGGTGAGGTGGACAGGGTGGTACCCTTGCAGGGCTCATTTCGATTCCTCTGATTCGATCCGATTCGATTCCGATGGCTTTCGATTCCGATTCGATTCGACTTCGGATTCCAATTGTGGCTCCGATCTGTTAGATGAGGCCTACTAGCCTGCCGATTCCCGCCAATTCGACTTTTCCAGACTCGGCTGCCGATTTCCGCCGATCCGATTCATTTCGATCGCCGATCCGATTCGCCCACTCGGCTCTCGGGGGCGCCCGCCCCCGCCATGGTCAAGTGCGACGGCATGGCCTTGGCACGCGGGTGACAGTTCCGAGCAGGTGCTCGACGACTGGTCGCACAGACGGCGGCGCCCCGTCTGGGTGGGCGGTGCGGTGCTGAAGATGGCCCCGCTCGAGTTGCTGCAAGCAGGCGCTTTCTAGTGTTCGCTGCAGCCCGATCTCTCCACTCTCTCCTGCCCATCCCTTCCCCCCCCCTCCGAGGTCTCTCCTGCCTGCGACTTCGCCATGTGTCCTTCTCTGGGCCAGCACGTTCCGAGCCAGGCCGACCGCCTCAAGGGATCTGTCGGTCACGCTCAGCCGCCACAGCTGCGGCAGGCTGCCCGCTCCCCGCGCCGAAGCCTCGCTTGCGACGCCAGGCCGGCCGAGGGCAGTTGCGGCCGC